GTTTAAATACTAAAATACGTTTAACAATGCTATGTTTAAGTGGTTTTGAACTATATTCTCGTTGGGTGCCCCTGACCGAAACAGTAATGGCTCTTGGTGGAGTAGCCATTAAGCAAACCGTAACATCGTTAACTGAAAGAAACGTTCGAATACTAGGAGGAAACATTTGCTTAATATAATTAACTAAGGGTAGCGCTTTCCTGAATAAATTCACTTAAGTGCTTTTTTTTTGGCATTTAAGTTAGTAACACGGTAAGCAATATCCTTTATGAAGAAAAGCAGATTTCCTGTTATTTTAATTTGGAAAGAAAATTAATGTGCGTTAATCATACTGTCGATCTTTAAAGCAGGTCGCTAGGGTATTTTTTACGCAGTGAGGTTGGGTAAGACTGCAATCCGAAAAATTTCCTTATCGCCAAGTCCAGAACGACTGATTTTTGTCAGATCGGAAAGAATAAAGGTGGAAGTTCGGACAATCCAATTAGTCCATTAGTTTTACTGCCAAAAGTAAATTGAAGTTTATTACGATGTAAAATAAATGAACCGAACAAGGAGGAAGTTAAAAAAAAATTGGACGCAATTATTGGGATTTTTCGCAATTTCGGTCCGCCATGAACAGACCGGGTGGTCGTTTCCACCCATCAAGATGTAAGTTTGAACATATATAATACAAAAAATAATAACTAAAATAAATAATAATAATGATGATAATAATAATAATAATAATAATAATAATAATAATAATAATAATAATAATAATAATAATAATAATAATAATAATAATAATAATAATAATAATAACAACAGTTCTTCTTTTATTCTTTTAACTTAGTTGTGGTTGATTTCCACTGACGCGTTTTTGGCTACGCATGTTAACGAGCGTAAATTTTCATCACGTAAATAAAATAGAGGCAAGGTATAAAGTGTTGATGTTAAAAGTGAAGTTGAGCGAGGTTCTACTTTTACGCTTACGTGCGACCTTTCATACATTGCCTCTATTTTATTTGCGAACGTAAATTTTACCCGCTTACGCACGTAAGAATTGCGCGGCAGTGGAAATCAACCCTTACGGAATAAGATTTTTACGCCTGACTCCGTCTAGTGACTCCAGCATAGGCACGCAGGCTTTAAAATAAGTGAAGACGGCTGCGACAGGGGCATAAAAACAAAAGAATATCAAAACTTGATCTGCTTTTCTTGATTATTATGACTTTTAAATAACATTTATTTAATACTACAGATATCATTCCGTGGAAGGAAAGGCTCTGCATAACCGTTGCACAAGCAAAAACATAAACCCAAAAACAGACAAACAAAACATGACCCACTTCACGTACGAAATCCATCTTTTTTGTCATCTCAAACTGGACTATATTATTTGCCTCAAAGCAAGTTTTGCCTTTCCGCCGTGGTTCATAATTGTGGCTATGTCTATGACAGTGCGAGCCACTGGTGAGCCGGACAGGGCATGTCACTGGTGAAGACAGGGTATGCCTAGACTAGACTTAGGTAGCTTTCTATACGAATCCAAATATCGAAATTTTATCGCACTCGAAAAAGCAAAGGACAATAAGCGTTTTCTTTTCTTTTTTTTCTCTCTTTTTTGGCTGAAGGCATCATACTCTCCTCTCGATTCAAGTACACAGGCTTCCAATAAACCGTTGCATTTTTTAAAAAAAATACTCAGTGGAAATTATCGGGGTGTTTTTAAGACCTTGCCTCTGTTCAAAGGGCTTCGTTGGGTGGTATCTTACGGCCGAGCCTTTGATCTGGTCTTATTTAACCTTAATAGCGAATTCAATAGAATCGTAAATTGAAATACACACTTCAATGTCTGCAAAGGCAAATTAAATAAACGAAACAAAATAAAACATATCTTGCATTCACTACCGGGTCAATTTATCAGTAATGTTATGATACCAAATTTGTATAATTCTTAATCGCGTGGGAGATCTGTACTTTTTGAACGAAAATAGGTCATACTGAACAGTAAACTCTTGTCTTTGCTTCAGATGATGCCGGGTATCGTACATCTTCTCGCCTCTTCTAAATTACTAATTAAAGCATCTATCATGACGGAGAATTCGAAAATGAAAAGCGATATCTTAATATAATTGACTGACCCTTTTAGAATCCAGATTAAATTATCGTCATTCGGTCTTCCATCACTTTGGCTTGTTAATATCGCAAATTATTAGCTTAATCACGCAGGGACTCATAATTTCATTACATTTACTTTCATGACTGTTTTAACAACGCTGACATGCTTTTAGATTTCAAAAGTATATTGACAATTTCCATTGCCGATCTCGTTTAATTTTTCGTCGACTTCTTTTTTTAATTAATAAATCTAAGGTCTTTTGTTGATTCATTTTCTGACTTGACGTAGTTCGATTAACAACAGCTTACTATAAATGGTCATTTTTTCTCATTTCTAGGGTTAAATTGAAAAGACTTTTAAACGGCTTACCAAATAATCTCACCTGATCTTTTTCAAGTTACACTTGAAAGCCAACCACAATTTCTGCAAACCTCTGAACTTCGCGTTTGGCTGGTTAGGTCTTTCTTTACGAAAATAGATGCGTACAACAGTACAGGTACAGTTGTATATTGTGTGGGCGCCTTCGAAAACAGTTTTCTTCCGTTCTTTTTAAATCAACATCCATGTTTTCTTTTTTCAAACTCCCACGTATTTGTTACATATCCGTATATGAATCATCATCACCTTCAGGGGTATGTGCCGTAAAACGCATAGTGTAATATCGCTTAACATTGATCCGTCGTGCTCGTTGATCATTCCAATCACATCGGCTGGTTATATTTATTATGGGCGTGATCTGTAACAGAAAGAAAGAGAAATTACTCAGCTACAAGTTAAGTTTAGAGTAGACTGAAATTTTGTTTTTCGTTTTTTTATTTTTCTAACTGAGGGTAATTATTTTCATCTTAGAATCGATAACAAGGGGGGATGTGATAGTCTATTCCACTTAGAAATACGCATGATTTGACATTTGAGAATCCTCATTGGCTCTTAAGCACCAGGTGCTCGCAATAACTTTTGTAATGAGACAAATATCCTGCTTATTATCGAAATTTTACATCTTACCAAGACAAAACGGAAGACATGGCTAAGAAACAAATGCCAGCATAACACAAAGGGGGATTGGAGTACTTTATTGAAGATCACTCGGGGTGAGTTATAAAGATACCAATACGATGAAATCTCGTGTCGCTCCATTTTTCAATGCTTTTCAGTTCATTATAGTTGATGTATATTTGCGGGTTTGAAACTACGGGTTTTTACCACTCGTAATGAAGACGTGTCTAACGTGGTTTCACTTTTCCTTGAGGCACTTTCGGTAGTGGTATTGTGTTTGCAATTAAGACTCCCTCAGAAAATTTGTATAAAAAATATAATATATGTGCGATTCTTTAATTGTTATCACTAACGAAACGCATGCTGACTACAGCCGTCAGGTTTTTCAGTCACTCAGGTTAAAATTTTGAAGATCGTCGAATTTCAAGTAGGTCACTGGAAATCGTATAAAATAACAGAGAACATTGACAATCTCGAGATATTTCTTAATGAGTCTGTTGGTAGCACCGTTTGCTGAAGCTAGCTGGCTTGGTGTTTCTTTAAAGCATTGACATATAAGCCAAACGAATTTTCATGACAAAAAAGAATCGATCAGAAAAAGAAATGAATATTCAGTTTGTACCCACCAACGTGATAATATAATAAGGCATTACGACAAATTGTTTAAACTAGAGTGGACTTAGTAAGTTAACAATCAAGGTACATTACCATAAACAATCGGCTTACGTTGACATGGACCACGCATACTGAAAAGGACTATTATTAAGTAACGAACAGATAAAATTAAACCGACGAAGTCGAAATTGTCGCTAAAGCAGAATTTGCCTTTAGTTTCCTCTACAACTTAATTCAGCAGTCCCTTTGGAGTTCTAATTACACGCAAATGCTACGAAACAATTCAGGATGTAGTTTTTAGACTTGCGGAGCAGGTGGTCGTTTTCTTGATTTGGCAACATTAACAAGCCGTCTCACTTTTTCTTAGCCGTCTGTCGAGAAAAATTCGCTACCGAATACAATAGCACGTTCAGGCCTTTTCACACAGAATTCATTTTATAGACACGAGTTCTAACGAGGTCTTTGTTCTTAGAACTTTTCATTGATAAACGGATGGGAACGAAGACAGGAAAGAACTTATCTAAGTTGAGGCCTTCAAGACAAAACAAAACGAGATGAGACAATGTTTACTTGGAGTCTTAACCCTACTACTACATCAACTTTATCGAAATACTTGAACTTGTAGTTACAAAATTAGTTAGTTGCTACTTAGAGTTACACAACGGAAAAAACAAATAGAATATCGGTATACAGTCAGAGCGAAAAATTAGTAAGCCGTCCATTTCAGAGTCAATTAATGGCTGTCATAATGAGGCATCCGCTGAAATATATCAGGACCAAATGGCAGGCTCAGTAGTGCTCCCCATTGAAGTTACATTTTGTTAAAGTTATCCGCTGACCTATTAATTTCGATTTCACTGATCAAAATTAGTATTTAAAAGAAGCTGCGATTTTATACCTGGCAAAATGTTTAACAATTCAACTGTTCTTTAAAATGCTGTTTTATCATGGGCGCTTCAGCTCTATCAGGTAACTAGTGATAAATTGTTTCCCCTGTTGGACAGGTGACAAAGCTCTTTGAGTGGCCAATGTACTTTCACTAAGGCGGGAATCGATTGTAACCAACGGTATACCCTATGTAACAATATCGGTAATGATTGTAGCAGCATGTAGTACTTTTAATATTTTGTAACAACTTTTGAACGTTTTTATTCCGTCTTAATCCTGTCATATTCAATGAGCAGTTTGTGCCATTTTCGGCCCAGACGTTTTGTTGTTAGTAATTATATCAATGATTTGGCGTTCACGATGTCTTGTTTTTGCCCTCGCAGATTATTATCGTCGTCAACAACAACAACAACAACAACAACAACAAAGAGTACCAACGAGGTTAACAAATGAACACCATCTAACCAAGCTGTGGGAAAGCCAGTTGATGACACTGCAATCTAAAACAAGGATTGGTAAACTTAGAACGGAAAGAGCCGATAAAAGGGTTACGATAAATGTAAGTGGAAGAAGGTTTTGTACATGGGACAGCACGCTAAAGAAATATCCAGACACGTTGTTAGGCAGCGAGGCAATCAAGCTCTACTTCGACAATGACAAAAAGGAATATTTTCTCGACAGAGACCCCCACATGTTTCGATACATTCTTAACTTCTATCGTGACGGCAAGTTACATTTATCCAGCGAGGACTGCTTTGGCGCCTTCCACGAAGAACTTCTCTTCTACGGAATTAACATTGACAGCATAAACGACTGCTGCTGGGAAAGTTGTTATAATCTCTCTAAAAAACTCTGCCTGAAAGGGAATTTGGACGAGCAATGCGGATGTACAAAGGTGGAAGACGCCCGAAATAAATCGTTTCTTCGCAAATGGCTCTGGGACCTCCTCGAAAATACAGAAACAACTCGCCTGGGGAAATGCGTTCAGGCTTTCATCGCAGTTCTTATTTATCTTAGTGTTGTATGCACAATTGTTGAGACAGAGCGATGCACCAACGACCTCTCATGCGAGGAAAAATATCCTCTTCTTTTCTTCATAATTGACGCCTTCTGCGTGAGTGTCTTCACTGCGGAGTATTTGCTCAGATTATATGCATCTGATAATCGTCTTAAGTTCCTAGTGAACAAGATGAATATCGTGGATTTGATGGCGGTTGCACCGTTCTACGTTATTCTTTTATTTCAGCATCTCTGTCCTGGATCATCTTCGGCGGTGGAAAAGGCCAGCGGCTTGATGGTTCTCCGCATGCTCCGAGTTTTTCGGATACTCAAGCTTTCCCGGCATTCTAAACACATGAGGCAGATGGGAAGGGCGTTGAAGAGAGCGATTGTGGATTTGGGCTTTCTGTTCTTTGCGTTCTTGTTGACGAATATTTTATTTTCAAGTGTGTTGTACTATATTGAACAAACAAAAGCTGAGGAGACAGAATTCAAGAATATTCCTGAGAGCATGTGGTATACCATAATCACTATGATGACCGTGGGGTAAGAAAAAACAATTTATTTCATTGGTTGCAAGGCCAGGTCAGTGTGGCCATTTATAATTTGATTTTACGCAACTGAATCACGTTTGAAAACAAGTTCCCTTTGAATTTTTTTTTAAAATGAATTTTAGAATTTTCCTTGATTCGAAGAAAATAGTAAAAAAGAAATTTAATCGCTGAAGAAATTATTTGTTTTCTAACGAAAATCATACTAGTCTCTCTGCTTTATACGAACGAAAAACCTGCCTCAAGAGGCTTGATAGACTTGCTACAAGTCGACCTCTTGGCGAGCGGAGCGAGCCTTGGTTGGTCTAGAAGCTTGACTGTTGCGCCAGTTTAGATATTCTATCGTTCTTGCAAACAGTTTCTCCTTAACATTTTTCCGAGCCTTTTCCTTGCCCAAAGGAAATTAATCGCGCACACGTTTTCAAATTAGGATGCTTTCGTAGCTTTTCTCAACTGTTTCAAAAATTTCTTCAAGTTCGCGAATTTTGAAGTCGTCAAGAACACCAGGTGTCTCGGCTTCTCCTTTTTCTTAATAGTAAACAGCTCCTTCTAGACTCTAGGTTTTTTGGATGCCTTTATATGCTCAACCTGATTATACTCATAAATATTTTCTTAACCTCGCACCATGGATAAAACAAGGACAAACAATTAGCCGCGACATCAACCGTGCGTCTGGAATCTTACAAATCCTAGCCAACGACCAATCACAGTGCATAAACATTCGGTACACTATGCGAAAGAAAATACAACTTTTGGAGCTCTAATCAGGCACGTATAGAAGTTTTATTATCACAGTTTATAGCGGAGCTCCACAGCTAAGAAAATTTGGTTATCTATCCATCCGAGAAAATTTTGGTAGTCCGGTGACCGAATATCCGTTCGTCCATCCATACGTCGACACCACAGGCGAACCAATGTAATATCTCACACTTTCTAGCTACCCGCAACCTTACATTGCACATCAATGTTGTGGTTAATTGACAGCTGCCAAAACAGGGTATCCGCTGACCAATATCGCATGGCCATATCGCGGGCTCAGGTGTCGACCCGTCCAAGCAACGACATGTTACTAGTTTTCAACTGATTCCAGGATCAACTCCAAGTGGTTTCCTTTGCAATGGTTGCAAATTATCTGTTTGCAGTGAATCATAAATTCATTAACAGGAACTATTGCTTTTCTTTTCAGTTATGGTGACATGGTCCCAGTAACAGTTATTGGCAAGGTTTTAGGCTGCGTGTGTTGCTTGTGTGGCATCTTAATGCTAACTCTACCGATACCAATTATACAAGAGGGAACATTGAAACCTAAAGAATCCTGAGCACAACTCTCACTAGCCAGGGATGGCAGAGCTTATGAATCCAGAATGTGACAGTGTTATTTCAGTTATCTCAGACGGAATCAGGAGTTGTAAAACGTAGTAAAGAATAAAGAATAACAACTGAGTGTCTGGATCAAGTCAAAACAAGAGAGGATAAATAAATAAATAATAAAATAAATAAATCGCCCACATTGGATAAATGTTAATGAAATATTGACATTATAAGAAAAATGACTGAAAGATATGTGCTATGAGAGTTGACAGAAATATCAGGCATTTTTTCAATTATTGAAGAAATAAACAAACAAACAAACAAAATACAAGTCCTTAAAACATAAGCATGTCTTGGTTTTTATCTGTTTCGATTTAAACCAATAAACCCTTTGCAAAAAAAAATTCCTCCAGTCGTTCGCATGGTACAAAATCGCCATGTTAGAAAGCAAGAGATGTAATGGGGTAACACAACAACGGAAATCACCATTTTAAATTATGTAAGTAGTGTAAGTCTCGTTCCAGTGCGTTCCTTGTTCTTCAGCATAAAATTGTACTACGTGAACTAATGACCAGCTGCAAAGGGCCCTCCTGTTCTTCTAAATATTTGCAGTAATTCTTACCTTAAGAGTTATATCTGTCGCGGTTTTGAGAAAAACACTAACAGTAAGAATTTCCTCCCAAAGATTTCAACGACTGTCCGTTCCAAAAGGCCATACCATGGCATGTTTAAGCGTTTCCGTTTAAGCATTTCATCGTACAATGAGTTTCTATCTTTTGCGTGACCTCGAAGGAGCTTGCTTCCAGGTCGAAATACAATTAACCAGCTCGTCGCTTTCACCCCGCAGGCGGGTATCCAGCGGTAGAAAACATTGCCAAATTTCAGTTAAGATCTCACGGCCTAAGAGCGCTATTTTCGAGCTGTAATATTCCCATCGGAAGACATTTCGTAACACATGATTTTCTCCGCTTCCGATCCGAACAGTATTTTTGGTCAGCAGTCTTAATTTAAGCGTAAACATTGTTGTGTTTTACCCCTCCATCTGTATCGTGACTTACGGCGTTTGTTAGCTGCTGACATAAAAAGGCATCCAGCGCTAAAATTTTGAGCTAAAGCGGTGTATAAACAGCTGGCCAAATAATAACAAGCCCTTTAGAGGAGAGATTGTTGCTTTCACCAAACCTTCCAATCACGGAATGTCATAAATTTAAAAGTATGCATAGGACCGACTTGAGGGGCAATCAGTTAATAATTAGACTACGAGTAGTCCCCCATTTTTCCTCAGGGATAGTAGAGCGAGCGAAACGCGATCGCGCGTGAAAATCACCCCACGCGAGAAAAGGAGACACGCGGCGGGGAGAGAGAAAACTTTTTCTCGCATGGGGTGATTTTCACGCGCGCTCGTGTTTCGCGCGCTCTACTATCCCTGAGGAAAAATGGGGGACTACTCGTAGTCTAGCTAATAATATATTCAGTATTATTTCTCTATTTTATCTGTAAAACACAGCGGGTGAATGATTTATACGCATCCTTGTATTTCAAAACGGGAACTTTCCCTCCTTCCATCTGAGCCGGTTAATTTCACGCTGATTTCAACCCACGCAATTGTTCCAATTGATCGAAAAGTGATCGCCGGGATTCCATCGGCAAAAGTACACCTAATATTGATCATTTATTTAGTAATATTTTTTGCCGACACAAATCAGATGGTATCACAATGAGGGAAGACAGTGTACCATTGGTATTCCCAAAATATGTGATCGAATGGAGTCACGAAGAGGAGAAACAGTGTAGTTTGTCATCTTGCTAGGAACCTCTAAAAAGATGGATACTTTTTGTTTTTTCTACAATTACACTTGGCCTTTTTGATGTTGCAACAGACAAGCAAAATTTTATAAAATACGTCTCAAGACGTAAGGATTTACGCGAATTTATATTACTCGTAGCTATAGCAGTGTTACATTAATATTTTCGTGTTCTGTTCTGTTGTTTAATTGGAACATTAATCTTTTCCTGGGACGTTTGGCTGGCCTATTGGGAATTTAAAGGCAATTTTGATGAAATAGTGCAGGGCAGAGATTTTGAATTGCGAGAATATGTCTACAAAGAAAAAAATGTACCTGTATTTAATAACTATCCTTCTTGAAGATTTTATTTGCTTTTTGTTAAACTTTTATAAGGTTTACTGTGATTATCCTGAAAGTGTCGAAAAACCCATGTTTCATTTGCCATCACGGCGGACCCTAGCTCTGACGTCATCACTCGTGAGCATCGTTGTAGCGTTTGGAAGGCTGCTTTGGCTGAATTATCATTGTTGTAGAATCTTTGGTTGCTTTTCAAGTGGCTGGGAGATTTCTTCGTGTTGTGTTTGGACTAATACAGTATTTGCATATTTCGCTTTGGCTGTTATGTTTTATTTCTTTTTTGGTCAGTTTTTACCTAAAATAATTACTTACAAAGTTCGTCAAGCTAAGGGGGCACAGGAAGGAAGCCAAAATATTGTTTCGATCGTGAAAAATCCATGATGTTTATCGTCACTTCAGCAAATCACAGAGTAGAACGCATAAAGAGAAGAAACCTTGTTTCGTGGAATTTATTCGAGCGATCTCATAGCAATGACAGAAAAAGGGATTTGGCTGAAGCAAGATAAGAAGTGTTCTGATATATTCTATCATATAAAGCCTCACATTCAAATCAACCACCAATGGAACGTCAAGGATCGATATGATGTCATAACAACAGAGTATAGCTGGAACAATGGTGACTGTTCTTTGGTTAAAACGAACGGGAGAGAAATTTTTACGGCAACATGTAACCCCCTGTGGTTTGAAATCGAACCAGTATGGTGCAATTTTACCTACCGAATTGTATACATGTACGACGCAAACTGGGAGCTTCACCACGTTTTACAATTTAATGTGGCAAATAAGACTGATGAATACTGCGAACCAGTTCATCAGAATCGGATGATTAATGTTTTAAAAGAAGATAGTTTTGCAGACCGGATGTAATATTGAGTTACTGCGAGAAGGCAGCAAGACTGAATAGAAGCCTGTTTGGCGCACAGACCTTAGAATTTTTTAGTAATGAGAGAAACTGACCTTGAGTGCGTTACGTGCTTGTCTTTATTTTTCTGGTGACTTTTACAAAACGCTATTCAAACTGCGTTCTATCGCTTTACGTTTCAGAAGTAAAAATATGTCATAGAAACGTTCCAATATATAATATCATATCATAACCGAATTTAAATGAAGTCCAAAAATTTAGGTCATTACTGTGATGTTCATCCGTGGGACTCAAGACAGTGTCAGGTGATCTTTAGGACACGTGACCTTAAAAGTCAGTCAGCCGTTGCTGGCCACCGTCGGCTTTTAAACAGATCTTCTCTTGTTCTTGGCTGAAGTTTCGTGGATAATTTTTCATAATCAGCTAGCGTTGACTCAATTTGCAGACGGTTACGATATCCGATAAAATGACATCATTGGTGAAGGATAACAACAGAAAAAGGCACGGCAACCGACAAGCTGTGAGGATGAGCCATTTACTTAGTTCAGCTCAGCTCAGCTCAGATGTTTAGCCATGAGAGCGCTGGAGGACATGGCGGAAAATTTCACACTTTTTACGAAGAAGAAATAACCTTCTGCCTGAAAACGTAGAAAGAACAGCAAAACAAAACTCGCTGGATAAAAACAGCTATCTAAAAGACAGTAACTAAAAACGTCCTACCGCCTTCGGTTACTCGATTAAAAACTTTCATAAGTCCCTGGCAACCGGACACCACCACAAGAGGAAATATTACTGTTTTACCTGAAACTGCACTTGAAAAGCCTGATTAAACTCGAATCTTATATCAGTTGTCATATGCCTTAATTGTTGACGCATTATTAATGCTGCGCGAATCGATCGATCATGACCAAGATATGACATGAAATCGATTGAGGTCTCTGTACACGCTGGATAGTATAGTAGATACAGTAGGGAACGATGTATCCTATCATAAGTGCTCTTCAAACCGGTTAAACTGCGACCGTTCTTGGCCTTTCATTGGTCAGAGTTATTAAGTTGGACTTATACTTGTCTCCCCACCACAAATACTTACCCCGGCCCATTCTACTTCCATACCGCTGTTTGAAAATGACAGCCCCAGCTTCATCCCAAATATCCAGGACCGCGCAACGGAAATGAAAAGCTCCAACAGTCTTGCGCAGTAACCCCGACGTAATAATACCTCTACTCTTAAAGACGATTGATGTATATTTGCGTGCGCATATTCTTCAGTCAGCTGACATTTTGAACCAGCGCCTATTAAAACCTTCAGTGGTGTTTCCGAGAGCAACGAAGAGGGAGCGTGCGGTGTTGACGTACAGTTTGTCGTTGGATGCAGACTCAAAGCAACAAGTTTGTTACACCTCTTATCCAGTAGAAACTCTGGAATTAAGGACTCTTCTTTCAAGGCCTTGGCTGACTGCAAGACCTTCAGGTATGCAACAAACCTAGAGTAATCAGAAATTTATGAAGGTTATTTTGGTTTGAAAAATTCCCCCCTTGTTTCGGAGGTAGTGAACCGACCATATTCGACATATTGTTACTAACTCAAATTGATTTAATTTTTTTCACTGCGTCTTATTTTTACGTTGCATGGGCTAGCTGCCGAACAAGGTAGAAAGGAAAATTCCCTAAATAAATGATAACAGGGTTAGTTTTGTTAATGCTTGTCGAGAAATACGTTTATTGTCCTGTGTATATCCCATCCGCCTTTGAACAGTTAAATTAGTCTGGGTTAATTGTGCAAGTCAAGGCGGTGCGTATCGCTCTACGATCGTACATCTCAAGATGTAATAAGTCTAGAAGATGCTCTGCCGAACGTCGTGAATTAACCAGCGAATTTTAAAGAGCTTTCCGTATCTTTACGGAAATTTCTATGCTAGCCACTGATTTGTCCTGATCATGTTTTTGTCGCCGGGTGATTGAATTTTAGTGAAATAATGGAATATATGAACGCATTAATTACGATTTACGTGCCGAATTTGTACGTTGAAGAGCTTCGCGTTCGCGTTTAAAGGACCTTATAAAGAGACGAAACATAATGAACTTAAATCCCTTTCATACAAGCGTCAACTTGCATCAATATATTTCTCGCGCACTGGATGAAAATGATTATTCAAAGAGAGTAAAAGTGAGTAATTAATAATAGAACTAGCAAAACGATAACTGGAATTGTTTTTACTTTTTATACGAAGAGAAAATACTGATCCATACTACAAAACTGCTTCGCTATCATTAAAACCCATTCCTTTGAATGTAAACAAAGAGGCATTACGGCATTGGGTATGCAGAGCGAACTCTCATTGGTTAGAAAAATGACAGCTGTCACGAAGTGCGACCAATACACAACGCGTGATTTAGTCATGTGCGCATTCAACCAAAACAATTCAATTGTTTTATGACTGACATCCAGGCGAAGGCCGCTGAATTTATGCAAATAAAAATCTGAATGACTTACATGGAAATGGTGAACCGAGAGATCTAGAAGGTCAAGCCTGTAAAATTTTAGACATTTAATCATTCCTTGGATCACGTTTAGCACCAGGTACAACTATATTTTCGTGAGTTGCTTTGTTTTCATAGTCGAGTGCTGGCAGCTTGACTTGCACGTCTACTGAACGCAAATATTTTTGTCCCAAAACGAGCTTGTGCGAGCGAAATGGAGAGTTAATTTTATTCTAGACATATTTAAAAGATAGTTTCACTTAATCTTCTCGGTTTAGCTAGTAAAATAACAATGTTCTTCTCGATCATAGCCTAATGTATTGTCATTCTCCAGCTCTGAAGCTTTGATTCATTCTTCTTGGTTAAATCGAGTACTTCATGCCCTCACAATTAAACTTCAAAACCACTATTTAAGAAAATTGAATGAGCGTTATTCACGTTCGCAGGACGTTCTAAGAAACCTGTGAATGAGAGCCTAACGATGAAGATAAACGAGTGAAACACAAGCTGGGAAGACGGTGCTATTACGAGGTAGGGAACTTAACTTAAGTGAATAAATTTTGATTCAAACACGTGCATATATAGCGGCCGTGTACATGTAGTTAGTAATTTTAATCTGTTTTAATATGTAATGTTGAAAGTCTTAACTGACTGCTGCTTAAATTACAGGCAAAACAGCGCTTGCAAACTTGTTTTGGGTATCCTAAAAATATGAATAGAGGTAATTCTTTAGTTCTGCCCTAGACCATGCAAGTTTTGAAGAGATCCGTGTAAACTTTGACGTTTGTGTGCTCCTGCTCGTACTCGTCTTTGAAACGAAAGGGACAGAACGGTTAAAAAGTAACGCGGGAATCATTCATCGAGTATTTGATGATGAGCTTTAGGAACAAATAGCTGATTAGCTACTTTTATTGTTTGAAAACGTATGAAAGTCTATTCGTCGCTTGTTTGGGGTATGACGCTAAGACTACGAACTTTTTTAAAAAATTAAAATGCTTTACCAACTATTGGAGCAACACAATTTGCTGATTAAATACAAACGGAGTTAAGCGTAGCGACTAGTGCAGGGAAAGTTTTCTTACCATTTCTTATTTGGTAATTTAAACCGCATAAATAACCTAGAATCGCACTTTTTTTAAGCTTAACAAAGTACGCTCATAAAATACTGTTAATGATATATCTCTCACCCCATAATAATATTACAGTAGTCACATGACTAGTGGCGGGATTTAATTATTGATGCGACTCAGTAGATTACTGTCAATCACACTCTTACTCCATTTCCTTAATGTCAGCTTTAAATAAATCGACACATGGCCCACCATTTCAGATCAAAAAACAAATGTAGTTAGGGGTGGGGGGGTGCTGGGAGGCGACAGGGAGGTTGGGGTGCAGGAACACTGTGGTTGGGGTCTGGGCTGTTTTGCTAACTGCTTGAGACAGACGTGGTAGGTTACCTTCTGTCAGAGAGTGAGAAATTAAAATAAAGCTGGAGTACTGCAAGCAAAAAGTAAGTATGCCTCAATAAGTCTATCTCCCCCCCATGGGGATAATATGGCTGAATCCTCCATTAAGCAAAATTCATTCGCCACGAAGCAAACCTCGGAAGCAGATGGGAGAAGAAAAGGAAACTATCATATTTCTAGCAAGAGCCCTCTTTTGACGCAAACGCTCATTATTTTACTTTTGCTGGAATGATCTACTCATAACACTTTTATCACGGTCAAACGAAAGCGCCCGCGCCGTAGGCTTGCCTTAACTTTATCCTTATTCTGTACCAGTATTATGAGGAAACCTGTTGATACATGGTTTGTGTGGTGGGTAAAAAGGAAAATTTGCAAATCGGAAATCATCAACAGTGATGTGTCCCCAGTGGATTTGTTACCTTTGCGTCCTGCATCCCTGACGCATAAAATTCCCCGAAGACGTCAAATAATTCATGAAAATGCGTCCAGTAGGACGCAAAGATCGGTCGATCGATCTGAAATTGTGTTTTCAGTTGTAGAATGCTGTTCGTGTGATTTCTGTGGCAGTTATTACGGCTGTCATTTAACGAACAATATTTATTTTAGCCTTTGTTATGCTTTAAAATAGAAGAACTATATTTTGATTTCAGAATACTGTCATATAGAGATTTGTAGTCGGTTCTCAGATTAACTGTCTGGTTACATAAAAGCCCAAGCATTTTCATTTGATTTTCAAGGGAGGACTCGTTGCCTTTTGAACTGGGATTCATTGGTTCTGGACTGGGAATAATGGTTTCACAAGATGAGTCCCAGGACTCACCACAGCTATTTGTAACAAAATCACTTGTGTTCCATGTAAACTAATCCCTGTAATGTAGGTACAGATAGGTCTGTCCGGATTTTGCTTGGCAACTTTTGGCGTTTGGAGCAACTTTTTGCGGTTCTAGCAACCTCGAGCAATTTTTTGTCTTTCTGGGCAATTTTTGAGCAAAATATAAACACAAAGCACGAAAAAAGTCAGCGATTTCATAGAAAACTTCAATTCATTAGAATTTCGTAAAGGTCAAGAGAGGATTTTCCTCTGTGGGAAATGTTTAGCAACCTTTTGAACACACAATCTCTCAGTACGTTTCGCAGGCCTTAAAGGGCAATTACTACCGTATGAATAATTAGTTAATATCCTTAAATTTTCACCCATCTTTAAAGCTAAGTTTCACTTTCTGGCATTCTAGTAAGCAACTTTCAAGCATTTTACGAGCACAATCGGGGCAGGAATAGGTACAGAGGCAACAGAACAACCCTCGCTACTGGGAAAAAATGCATGGGGCCTGGAACTAGAAACAATGGAATAGGCTCATCATGCATCATACAACGGAAACATCCCCCCACGCAAAGACCAATATAAGTATTGTGTCCTCCCGGAAATCGATATCCTTCAGCAATTGTCAATCTTTCTTCGTGACTTTTTTCCGCCTAACACTCCAAATCATGATCAACGATCTCTCTGCCATTTCAGTAAAAATTTCAAACATTAAATGTGCCAGAAATTTGCTTCCCCAAGATAAGATCTTTAAGATAAGAACTTTATTTTAGCACGGTAAAAAGATCAGCATTGCTGGTGGGGTCGTGCACACAACAATTACAAAAAAAATGAAATAAAATAGGGACTGCTGAAATAAAAAGTACGATTAAAAATTAAAAACTGTTAAAAGTGCTAAAACAGGTCGTGAAAATGTACAATTAAAAATTAAAACTGTTAAAAGTATTCGTAACCGATATCTGTATTTTTAGTAGTAGCTAAGATTGGTTCGAAGTTCATGTTATCGGTATCAAATTTCCCTCAAGTCAGTCTGCGTTCTCCCAATGTATTTATAACGTGGTTCCTCTTCTGCCCACGCACAAGAGAACACCAAAGGCAGGCTGCATGAATAAATACGGGAGTGAATTATTTTGGGTTAAAGGTCACAGCTGAGAAACTGGATGTATAGACAGGGGTATAAATTTCGTCTTGAAAGTCAATACGCTCAATTAAGGACACGGACAACTGGCGCGTCTCGTAAGTGAAACGGTTTTTTTTTTTTAACAAATGTTTGCGACCTTTTTTATCATTCTTTTAATAGAAAGCATGAAAAGGTAATTGTACAGTGCACGTAAAATCGATTGCGAGTTTTGGCATCTTTGCTCTATTTACATTAGCAGTTAATAGCTAATCGATGCATCCGGTGCATTGAGATAAATACTGGGAAGAATTTCAAATACTGCCGCCCTATCACAAACCTCCTTGTCTGGAAGCCGCTCATAAAGTAGACTGCTTGTTGTCCGCCTTTCCTCGCAACATCCGTTGAGTTCTCATCCCACCCCAGCCAGCGCGATCGCAAAAAACGCCGTTACAAAAAGGGACGGGGACGAGACGAGAAAGGACTGGCCAAACACAATTTTCTTTGTTTGGCAATTTAAAATTCGTCATGCGCTTTCACATTTGCCAAAATTGATAAATGAGTGAATTAATAATTATCAAACAGTCTGATAAGCAATCGTGAATAAACAATTGTTTCAACAGAGAGAAGATAAAGAACCCATCTTATATGCTCTTAGTCAAGGAGGGGGGTAACAACAGCTTCGTGTGCAATACTTGGTTGAGGCGTCATTTGCTGTAAATGGCCAAAAGATAATTACACAATGCATAGGGTTAATTTCTACTCTCGTAGCAAATTCTGCAGACTACAAATTGTATTTAAATGTTCCAAAGCCAGTTAAATGCAACTTTTAAATAACATTTTGCATTAATTAAAGGCTGGAACAAGTGTAATGCAATGCACCACGCTTAAGTTGTTTTTGTGTTGCTAAGTAACTGATCATAAACCGTGTTAAGTACAATTGTAATTATAATTAGTATTCAAAGACTCCTTTTTCCCTTGTGTTTCTTTCGATTACCATAAGTTTATGCCGAACGTATTACATTGTCTCTGAAGTCTTGTTTTAAATTTAAACCAAGCTCCGGAGAAATCTTAAAGAGCAGAACAAGTTCATTAGCACGCGATATTCTTCTTCTATTACCCAAGCCAGTCATGGAACCATGACTTTTACGTCAGTGTATTTCGTTGCATATTAGTACTTGAGAAGTTCTTGCTTTGTATGATAGCCTATGAATATCTCAGTCCAACTATTTGTCTAACCGTTTAAATTTCGTAAACTTTAATAGTGGTTGAGACGCATGGACCGCAATCATCGAATGCCTCTTCGCACTTCGCTTGAAAGAATCGTATTTCAGGTTGCTAAGGACTGGGAACGTCACTAATATTAAAATTCATTCATTCATTCAATTTTAATTGGTTAATCCAAATTTACAATTATATTTTCTCACTACCCACAAGTAGCAAAAGCTAGTCTAGGTGGACAGTGTCTGTACAAAAAAGAAAAAAAAAGACGCACTCCTAATATATTAAATTCACAAGTGAGCTAGAGTAATTTAGATAAATAGACGGTCCTATCTCCGGGACAACATACACATTACCTTAATCCAAGAGATAATGAGCTCATTCTCTCTTGCTTAATCTTAACTGCTAGTTAGATATGGCGATAGAGCGGTTTTCATTTGAGTGTCGAAAATTAATTGGTTTTGCACTTTCTACACGATGCGATTGGCTTAAAAGATTCGCGCCACCTTTTCATCCAATCAGAAGTAAAACCAAAGCCAATTGTGACGCGCTCGCATGCATTTTCCCGCGCTTTTCGTCAGCCACATGTAATTACTTCGAGTTTTGATTGGTTCAATGTATTGTCTGTGTCCTATGTGATTGGCCAGAGTAATTACTTTGGTTTTGGTTTTACGACACTCAAACGAAAACCACTCTATGAGAGGTGGATTCCGCCACTAAACGTCATTTTTAAACAACTTTTTTCCGCCTATGAGGAAAGTGGTGTGTTTCGCAAAGTACTTTAGGCGAATGTTGGCCTTAGGTATATATCACGCAGTCATTTGACCAAGTATAGGCTAAGAAAGCAGGCTTCTTGCATCCGATAAGCCCAAAAACAGATCACAGAAGGAAAGAACAGGAAAAATAGAGAGAGCAAGTATAAAGAAAGGAAGGGAGGAGGGAAAACAAAACAATGGTCGCACTCTAAGCTTTTATATTGGCGACAGAAGAGGTCTAGTTTGGCCGTATACAAAATCATTCATGGAAGGGGAGGGGTGGCTGAGAGCGTTACGTTAGAAGTATTTGATCATGGGCCGTTTTCAGTATGGAAGTCTTGACAACCTAGACGTATCAGTGGATTGACCGGATAGTTGGTCTGCTACACAGCCGTTTTTAGTGTCGTCACGCTACGCTCCTTGGAGAGGAGCGTTGCGTGACGACACTGAAAACGGCTGTGTAGCAGACTACTGGATAGTCTGCTCGTTGAAAACTGTGGTGATATATTCGCCGAACGCATATTAGTTCTGTGAAGTTTGTCACCGTTATAAGAATAAACCCCTCCCATCTATTAAACGCCCCTGCTTGGGATCCCAAAATTAATTAGACGCCCCTAGCGTCTATTTAATCATTTACAGAAATCTCCTGTCCTGTCCTTCAGAAAGGGTTACCATGGCAAGTGATACAAGCGGCGACCCTGTAAACGGTCACGGAAAAGACGAAGAATCGAGTTCGATATTGCCTGGACCAGACAGCCACGTCCCCGCCATAGACGACAGTGTTATTGCGGATGATGATGAAGGGCTTCCTTTTATTTCCGCTGTGTATTCGCTGGCGCCGGATGACAAGACAAACGAGTCTCCAAAATCAGGTTGGTTCATCAGTTTCAGAGGATCGTAAGGGAGAAATTCCTTATTCCTTGTTTTAATTCAAGTTTCGGACAAGCCTGCGAAGAAGCGAGTAATCTTCCTATTGAGAAAATGGTCACTCGCTAGTTCTGTTACTAAATTGAAGTAAATCAAAGTAGATAAATGAATTAATAAATAAAAAAAATACAACAAGCAAGAGACAAAGAACAACATCAAAACATTTATCAGCAAAAGATCCTGAAAACGTTTGAGGAATGAATGTTTATCCATGTTATGATGAAATTTCTTCTTGGGGAAATGTACCGCATTCTATTTTGTTCAATTTATACGTTTTTGTTTTTATTTTTTAAAAATATAAATTGGGCTTTGTTGGCATGAAATTATGCTATTCAGGTCGATCCAGATGACTGATAAAGGATCCTCAAAGTTGTCATTTTCGGCGGCCGAGCTTTCATAAGCCCTATTTACACAGACCGTTTTGTCGCACATCAAAAGCCGCGGTAGGCGCGATTTCAAATCGCATGTGCAAACCATTGGCGATTAAAATTATCTTTATTTGTCTGACGGTACGATCAAAGTAGATTTCGTCTTCACCGGGCGCACTTATCGTGGCGTTTACGATTGAAACTTGACCTTTTAAATAAACGTTCATACTTAGGCCATTCAGTGATAAGCAGTTCTTCTCCGTTACTCCACAAGGCTCTTTTTATCATCTTCGAAGTAGGGATATTGCCATGTATATAAATTTTAACACTTACGATGGGAAACAACTAACAATGAGTAAAAATGACAACCTTCTCCTAAACGGGGAATGCATGATGTTTCGTACGTAAACTGCCGCATATAATTGCATCGATTGCTTGTGAGAAACGTGGTAATCTCGGCAGGCTATTTAAACTTCAAGATATGGCTCTTTTAAACGGACCTTTAGGCTCGCCATTTGTCTTCGGGTGAGCGCTATCGTTCTGATAAGTCCCCTTCCCACCCGCCCTAACCCCGAAAAAGCCCCAACCCCTCGGTGAACAACGGAAAATAATCCCCCCCCCTCCCTTCTCGAATAAGATCCCTTCTTCCGGACCTTAAGTTCCACCTTATTATAATTAATAACCAAATCATCGAATCTGGTAAAAGCGCTAATATTGTAGGTTTACACGGTGCCGATAATCAACGGCCCTCAAAGGGTAAAGGTAATGAGACGGGAGATAGAATGGAAGTTAAGTCTATTGTATATTTCAAATTTTCAATCTATAATATTTGCTTTGCAGACGCTCAAAACGTTGGCACTTTGAACTCTAGATCAACGACAGGAGCAATAACGCAGATGGTTGATTTAGGAAAGACTGTTTTTCTCCATTCATGTTCTGTTGTCAATAGTGGTACTTTGTCAAACGATGATCCACTTTCTATAAATGTAGCTCGAGGAATTCAATCTACCACAGGTCAGAGCAAGGAAGGTCTGACAACTCACAATTTCGGTACCAGCACTGTAATAAATAGAACACAAAATGAGGGTGCATGCGCTTCGGTAGGAAAAATCACTTTGGAATCACAAGAACGAAAGACAAGTCCACTGACGACTGAAGCTATTTCACGGACAGCATCAACAATGCCAAGTACAGCGCCGAATCTGCAATCAGCAGGGAATATGTCGCATCTAGTTAGGCTGGTGAACAGCGTGAGCAACGCCGATGCACCTAAAACCACTTCTTTATTAACATCTACCAAGGTCGCTAGTGGCGTTTCATTGCCACCACCGGCAATGCAAGGGCTTGTCCCACCCACTGCGCCTGCTCCGGCTGCCGCGCCAGTAACACACTTGCCGAGAAAAATTGCGATGAAGCAGCCTCCTTCGACTGTCGCTAACAAACTGACATCTATTGTTTTGAACCTTAAACCAGGCGAGGCTCTTCCGAAGGCGTTAAATTTACTGGGCCCGGACGGGAAATCAGTGGTAGTTTTAACTCTACCCGAGGGTGGTAAACAACTTGTAGGCGGGAAGGTCTTGATTCCAATTCCAGCTAATGTAGTTTCCCCTATTGCTGCACCCCCTAAAGCTGCTATTGTTAATAAGGTGTATCCCATTGCGCCTCCCCCGTCCAAAACAACTGTTTCATCACCGCAGACAAGTGTCACCCCACGGCTGCTTTCTGTCTCAGGTTCTTCACTAAAACCACCCGCGCCCAGCACTGTGCTAAGTTCAGTAGCATCAAGTTCCGCGAGCGTTTCGAGCCTTTCTCAGACGCGTTTGTCTGTTGTAAGTGCGGGTGCTTCTGGTAGCGTATTAGGAAGCAGTGTTAGAACATCGCCAGCTACTGTAACAACGCCGACAAATTTAAGGCCGCTGGAGCCAAAACCGCCAACTTCAACGGCTGAACAGTCGACTGGCCTTTCACCTCAAGACGCGAAAATTCAAAGGCTTAAGGAGCTTATTAAACGGCAGGAAGAAGCCGTAAACAAACTTCGCGAAAAACGGCGCCTTGAAATTGATCGAATCAGGGATCCTTCGTTAACGTCCAAGCAGCAAGATGATTCAGGGACGGACGATTCACTGAAAAGCGAAAGGGTTCCTTTAGCTGAACAAAAGAGACCTTCGAGTCCCTTCGCTGTTCCTCTTCCACCAAAGAAGCGGATGAAGGATTACGATTCGAGCTTCAAGTCAAAAGCTTCCAAGGCGTCAGATACTTCGGCAACACCTGACGGTGCATTTATTCCGAACGCCGATGACAAATCTTTTGTGCAATTGGTTGGGTTGGAGAACGTTGTAAATAGCATTAAATAACAGTAAAAGTGGGTTAATACTATGAGTGGTGGTCTTACAGCTTTAAGAAGGACTTATTCACTTTGCTTTTACTTCTAAAGAGCCATAACAATCTTCAAGAGAGCATGTTCGCGAATTGGTAATTTATTTTCACTTGTTTTGATATCTGGTTTTTCGGCTTCAATTTAGTTTGTAAATCAGAAAGCAAAGTTTACTTAGAAGAACTTGTTGAAGAGTGAAGTACACAATTTGTGATAGGACCGTTATAAACTAGACAGAAGACGCGGACGATAGTTTTATTTAGTGGACTAAAACAATCATTAAACTTTTCAACTTTTTTCAATGGCTTGGCAACTGATTTCTTTCCTAGCTATTATACCCGTTTCCCTTTGTGCTACAAACACAAAAGGTGCAACTTCGTTTCCAAGGCCTCCCCTCTCCAGAGTGCCGAGAGACCTTGGGAACTACCTGCAGTCCCTGTTAAAGGTACCGTAAAATTCCGAAAATAAGACCCGGGGTTTATATTTTTCAAAGACCCTCTTTGAGAAGCTTAATTTTGGAGGGACTTATGTACGGAGGGAAATTTGCGTTTCAAAATCGATTGGGCTAGCTTGTAGTGAAAAGAGAATTTACCATTTTTGCATTGATTTACTTTGTATTCAAGGGCAAATTCCAAGTACAAGCCCCCCGGGGACTTATATTCGGAGGGGGGATTTAACGGAGGGTTCATTTTGCGTACGATTTTTTTTTTTGGAGGGGGGGAGGGGGCTTATATTTGGAGGGGCTTATTTTCGGAATTTTACGGTAGTCAAGAGCAAAAGAAAATTACTTTCTATGTCCATTTTTCGGGACAACACGTAATGCAAGACAAATATCTCGCATAAATCAACAAACCACTTAACTCAAGTGTATGTACTTATTCAAGTTTAATGCGATAAGATGTGACCACCATGCAAGTAACTTAGACCAACCACTGGGTAACCAGGTTGGATTCGCGGTAAGCGACTAGCTAGCTTAGATGAGTTGGGTATTAGGCTTAGAAATGGTAGGCTTGGGATCGACGCTCGGCTGGAAAAAGAAGGTTCTGCCTTTGTCTCACATGCACAAATGGCTAGACCATTAGGTTTCCCCGTGCCTATTTTTCAATGTGCAACACCACTAAAGACTGATGATATTGCCCGCAAATAATATGCACCAATTACACTATAACAAAGAGAATTATGATGTGGAATAAACTGGGTGTGTGTGCATTAAGATACCACATTTTAAATCATCTGACGGATTGAAATTTTACTTAAAACATTAGCGGCAGCTAAAAATAATGTTGACAGTATTGTTCAAAAAGGTTAGGGAAAGTTTTCACGGTGGCGTGCTCTACCTCTACATCTGTTGTCACTTCACTCATCAGACATCTCAGGAAATGTCCATACCACGAATCTGGACATTTTTGAAACCGCTTATTTTTTAACCTGGATTCGTTCGAACAGGACCTTAACCGCTTTGGAGAGGGGTTTCAAAAATATCGGGATTCGTGTGAACCTAGACTCATACCGTAATCTCACAATGAACCAATAGCGGCAAACTCTCAGGCCATGTTCACACGAATCCGGACATTTTTTAAAACGCTTTTTTTTTTTAATGCGGATTCATGTGAACGGGACTTAAACCGCTTTGGAGAGCAGTTTCAAAACTATGCGGTTACAGTGACCGACTTCACTGGTTTCGTGTGGCCTCGGTGGATAGAGCGACCGCCCGGTTTTTGGAACGTCATAGGTTCGAATCCTGTTGGGGATTCAAATTTTTTTCTTTGTCCCACGCTTGTGAAATGCTGATTATTACATCTTCACAGAAAGTATGTGGTTTAAAAAATATCCGGATTTGTGTGAAAGTAGACTCGTACAGTAAACTCACAAATGAACCAAAAGCGCAACGCCTTTAAATGCTAACATCCGAGCTGACTATTCATATCCGTTGTTATTGTAAAGCGGAAACGTCCTGTTGTCCTGCCATCCTGGGCATTTGACTGTCATCTTACATTAGCTCGTCTCTTCTCTCTACTGCCAATCTTGTTCTGATTCAATGTTTGTTTTGCACCCATCATTATAAGTAACGTAGGGTGCAAAAAACAACCCTTTATTTCGAGTCGACCAATTGACAAGGGCCATTATTTTAGTCGGTTCCTTTCGGACATGAAAACGAGTAATCGGGTCACTTTTCATCTTTGTTAAACACTGGAGAACTCTTTAACGATTAATATACTTGTGACCTGTAACGAGCGTTGGTTTGCTGGTCGATGTCGAACTAAAATATTCGGTCAAGAAAGACAGAAGCAGCCATTAATCATGACAGGGAACGCCTGAGTTGAGAAATATCTAAAGAAAATAAAAATAAAATGGAAAAAAATTAGACTCTTAAACTTGTAGAGCTGTCTCAAACGAAGACTAATATAATGTTTGATTGAAAATGATTCCATAACATTGCTCGATATCACAGAAGGAACAGTGTATTTGATGTTGAATATTACATGACTATCCTGTATTATTTGAGGGGGGGGGGGGGGGGGGGAAGTTGGGTTGATTTCCTTGTTTTGCAGCGCGCATCGCCTCCCCAATTTAAAATTTTGACATCAAGTTGGGCCTTCCGATCAGCATTTTCCTCTGCTTGCGTTTTTGCCAAAGGGCGGTCTTTCGCTAAACTCCTTTGGGTGAGAAAAACCCAACCGTTTAAATTACAAAACTACTCCATTTTGTTTCATTAACTGACAGTTTTATCGTGTTAGATGCAAAACTATTGAAACCTCGATCTTTAATGTAAACGGAGACAGCTTACCGGGCCTGTTAATTATCGGGACTTTCGAGAAACGGGCCCCTGGACATTTTTGAAACCGCTTATTTTTTAACCTGGATTCGTGTGGACAGGACTTAAACCGCTTTGGAGAGGGGTTTCAAAAATATCGGGATTCGTGTGAACCTACACGAATCCGGACATTTTTGAAAACGCTTATTTTTTTAATGCGGATTCATGTGAACGAGACTTAAACCGCTTTGGAGAGCAGTTTCAAAACTATGCGGTTACAGTGACCGAATTCACTGGTTTCGTGTGTCCTCAGTGGATAGAGCGACCGCCCGGTTTTTGGAACGTCATAGGTTCAAATCCTGTTGGGGATTCAGATTTTTTTCTTTGTCCCACGCTTGTGAAATGCTGATTATTACATCTTCACAGAAAGTATGTGGTTTAAAAAATATCCGGATTTGTGTGAACGTAGACTCGTACAGTAAACTCACAAATGAACCAAAAGCGCAACGCCTTTAAATGCTAATATAAGAGCTGACTATTCATATCCGTTGTTATTGTAGAGCGGAAACGCACTGTTGTCCTGCCATCCTGGGCATTTGACTGTCACCTTTCATTAGCTCGTCTCTTCTCTCTACTGCCAATCTTGTTCTGATTCAATGTTTGTTTTGCACCCTTCATAATAAGTAATGTAGGGTGCAAAACAACCCTCTATTTCGAGACGACCAGATGACGAGGGCCATTAATTCCGTCGGTTCCTTCCAGACACGAAAACGAGTAATCGGGTCACTTTTCATCTTTGTTTAACACTGGAGAACTCTTTAACGATTAATATACTTGTGACCTGTAACGAGCGTTGGTTTGCTGGTCGATGTCGAACTAAAATATTCGGTCAAGAAAGACAGAAGCAGCCATTAATCATAACAGGGAACGCCTGAGTTGAGTAATATCTGAAGAAAATAAAAATAAAATGGAAAAAAATTAGACTCTTAAACTTATAGAGCTGTCTCAAACGAAGACTGACATAATGTTTGATTGAAAATGATTCCATAACATTGCTTGATATCACAGAAGGAACAGTGTATTTGATGTTGAATATTACATGACCATCCTGTATTATTTGAGGTGGAGGCGGGGGGGAGAGTTGAGTTGATTCCTTGATTTGCAGCGCGCATCGCGTACTCAACTTAAGATGGGTATGCCGATCAGCATCTTACTGCGCATGCGTTTGTTGCCAAGGGCTGTACTTACGCTAACGTCGTATGAGTAGACAATACCTAACGCTTAAATATACAGTAATTAAGCAGTACGTACATTCTGGGTTTGAATTCCTGTGATTAAATTGTTGTTGTTATATACGTTTCCACTGAACTTTAATGCCAGAATCAGTACCACCGCCAGTCTTTTGACCCGTCGCCTATCTTTGAATGGACTCACATTGATACTGTGACGCATCAGTTTTAAATTAGGGACCAGATTTCGATTGTTCCAGATAAAACACAATATTTCTGCTTACCTCTTGCAGGCCTTCGTGATCGAGACCGTAATAATCCCACCCTGTAATTCGAATTGCGTCGTTATCGTTATTCCACTTGGCGTCGTTGAGTTCGCACAACTTTTTATCACCGCTATTGAGTTTCCGCTCAACATTAAACGATTTGCACCTCGTATCTCTCAAGCAAGCATCCGCACATTGATAAGGGGTTATAACAGATATTTCTTTCACCGAAAATCTTAAGAGCCTTGTTTCCTCTTCTAGCGTATCATTCAGCGATTTCTGGGCACAAGCTGCGTGAATTTCTTCAGCACGAGAAAACATAAAAATAGTAAAAGATAAGTAATATAAGTGTAACATTTCAATGACCATTTTGATCGACAGTTCTTGTCTTTGTAGTCTTTCACCACGCAAACCTCATCTTAGGAATAGTTCAAGTCTTCAATTTAACAAAGAAACCAATTCGCAGCGTCGCTTCTGATCTCTAACCTTTTGTGCTTTCGGTAATAAAAATCTCTTTTCCGTTCCTTTAATTACATTTTAATCAAATAGAGACGTTTTGTGACTTGAACTAAAAGCTGTATCTACAGAATTTTTAATTAAGATATGTTTCAATAAATACAATGAATGGAAAGTACGATAAGGGGGCGAAACAAAGAGAGTTAAGTAGTTCATGGTTGAAGAGTAAACATTGGACATCTGAGACTACAACTTCGTTTATGAACTGTTTTGTCTTATACACTATAATGTACAAATACTCGCCAAATGAGACCATAATAGTGATTTAAAAGAAACCGTAGTGTAATTACCTTCAGAGAACTTTAAATTTCGCATTTTGGACGAGTTAAAATAAAGTAAGTAATAGTGACACGTCCATTAATGTTTTGCGACATCTTCGTAGATCAGTGACTTGTGACGTCATTCGCAGGCGGAAAAAGATTTCATATTGATTGCAAAAACGTGACACCATTCCTTTGTTGTATAATAGCTTCATTGAAGGATACAAACTCGAGGAAATGGAGGATGCAAACACAAAGCTCATAGCAAGAAATGGAAAATGGAACTTGTCACGTCTACTTCTTTAACAGAACATCAATCTTCACAAAACAGTAAGGAAGAAAAAAATATATCAGCAAACCCACAGAAAACAACGCCTTCTTCGCCATTCTATGCCGTACACCTTTTTTTGTTCATTTTGCGGTTAACAGAAATCAAATTACCTCTTTGTCAACGGCTAAGGCCTTTTTGGTGGTGTTTGGAGCTCTGCAATCAAACAGAAGTAAATGCAGCTGCGTGAAGTATTTACTCTACAAACATTATCGGGTCAATGTTCAACTGATTTTGTCATTTCTTGCAGTCGATGTGTAATTTCAAAGAAATTTGACACAAAGATATAAACATAAAAGGTCAAGGTATTCTTAATCATTCCCCTGTCAACGAGTGTTTCTGCTGGACTCTTCAACGAAAAGGAAAAAAAAAATTCGGATTTAGTTTAAGATTATGTGCTGCCCACAAACAATTTTGTCCTTATTGGGCTACTATTTCACTAATGGCTTGGTAACAAAACGTAGTGAAATATTAAACAATCAGCCGCCGAGTTAGGGGGTGGGCAATTTGTAATAATCATCACGCTTTGTAATACCTGTCGAAATTTGTAATTATCATCATATTTTGTAATATCCGTCGTAATCTGGACAAACCATGGCAATTTAGTATCTGTCACAATAGTATTGATGGAGTCCATAAAAGTCATTAGAGCTATTCTCATAGGTTAACTCTGATTAAGTCATCGCCTATCATCGTCGTGTGCATGTCAGTCAGAATAAAGACGAACCAAAGATAATAGCTAAAGCTTATCACAAAGCTCGGTATAATAGGCTTTAGATTTTCCTATGATTATTACAAATTGCGACAAATTCATTACAAATTAAGTTGAACGTTTGAGCATGACTACGTTTAACACTAGTTTGCAAAACGCTGAGTTTTACGTTGTGGACGAAAGGACTGTTCTCGCATTGAGAGCCTGCACATTTTACAGTTGGATGGTACTTTTTGACTGCGTAGCCGGTGAGAGTAGATTTAATGAAATGCCCTCTTCCTTTTTCTGTTTGCGACTTTTTCCCGTGATAAGTGTTAATCAAACTTTTCAACACAGTATTAACCTGGGTGGATAACGGGTCATGCACCCAATATCAATGACCATTTAACATACATGGTTGTATCTCTGGCAATGTCATGTGCCGCATAACATGTATAAGAATGTGTACACTCAGCCATTCGGCTGCAGAGCAGTCGACCACAAGTTTCCTCCATCGATGGCGGCCATTTCCAACAGCTGATTGTCGCTTACCAGGCTATTAGGATCCCCAAGGAGACAGTGAATATAACTGGTGGACAACGTTCGCTTTCTTCTGGGTTTCCTCCTCCAATGAGAAGAAACGTACGTTGCAAATTCTCTGAAAGGCTCACTTTCAGGGAAGCGGAGCAAATGACCAAGGAAACCCGATTGCCGAACTGGCCTGACTCTAGCTTTCAATGAGGGGAGTTGTCTCTGTGAGGCTTTAGATGGTAGCATTTGGTACACTCTTGATTCGCCTGATTTTCAACATGATTCGATAGCAGGATATGCCAAAAGAATTGAGCCATATATAGAAATATGCATATGTAAACAATACACACACCCTTGCTTCGCTCTAACAAAAGACTGACACCCGAAACAAAAGTACAGCATTTCAATACGCCATTTCCGAGTTTCCCCGAGCCTCTGTTTCAAAACGAGGGTAGGTGCTCAGCCTTTGATATGGAAATCATTTTTAATTCTCATGCAAATAAAAATCATTTTCACAAGAAAGGTTGTGCACCTAGCCTCATTTTGAAAGTGAGGGTTTTTGGAACTCCGAAGTGGCCTATTACTTCACAAACAAACGCCTTTATTGCGGTCTGTCCAAACGGCTTAATCGCTGCCTACAACAATAAGGCGTAGGCTCAGTCTCGAGGCTGGAAGACCCTAATTTATTCCCGTTGACCTTTTCGGAAGCGGAATCCTGTATCCAAGTTCCTCTGACAAAGAATCCGGAATCCAGGAAATGGAATCCGGAATGCATGGCATGGAATCCAGAATCCAAGACTGTCTCAAAGACAGTACTGTTCTGTAAAAGAGGACAATATCCTATGACAACAGGGACTTTAAGCATCGACGACGAAATGGGACGACGCACTACGCCGACCGGAAGTGAGATTTTTACGCGCGAACCTTCTGGGCATGCGTAAGGTTGTCAAAACGTCGTCCAGCCTTCGTCGACGACGACTTCTTCGGAAAGAAAACGTCTTCGTCTGTCTGGGGATGCACTGCTTAAACTTCGTTTTCCCCGCCGGCTCAGTCTGCCTCGGTTGCGAATCGTCGTCGTCGGCCGTTTCGTTGTCGATGCTTAAGGTCCCTATTACCTTCTCTTCAACCATCTTTAGCTACAGTTCTTTTCTATTTGCAAGAGGATAATCATTCTTGCCCTACATCTAACTAAGAGAAGAATTACTCTGTACAGCTCCCAGCTTTTGATAAGCCCATGATTAAATGACTAGACATGCTACAAGTAGATCTTTCATAAGTTCTTACTATCAGGGAAAAAAGGACTTTAAGAAAGTCTTAAGTGACTAGCTAAATTACTAGTATGGATGGTTATTATGTATAGATGGTTCCCAATTCCTGAAAAATCTCTTTTCGTCAGTTCGTCCCAGAATATCCTACGAATAGCTCAGCCAGTAACCAAGTGTGTAACTCGTAAAGGCGATAGGGAACAATATCCGAAATATTCTATCAATGCGGTGGGCAATCTTTTTGTTCCTACGCATGACTGCTTCATAACATTGTCTGTCCCCGGTGATCCTTATATCCTCTAACGACATGGGAAGTGTTTGGTCCTTAACTACGATGTTCATCTCCAGCAACTGACCCTCGACATCCGTCACTTTGTTTGTTGTACTTTTTCTTAGGGTTCCTTGGCGAGCTTTGAGTGACGAAAGTATCTTCGATTGTAAAGAATGGCTACTCTGCAAAACAAGAAATCCTGCTGAGTTAACACCATTGCTACTACAGCATGCATTCTTTAAGTATTTCCAAAGTGTGGCTGCCTTTTGTAGTTTACCTTGGTTAATTTTTACCTCACTCATCCAGGTGATGACACTTGTTTAAAAAAACATGGTCATTTAATAAACTTTATTTCTCATTTTGTCCATCCTAAAACACTCAACTGAGCCTCATGCTTTAAACTTGATAAACGCTCATGTTTATTCATTAATCTAGCAAAAAAATTGTCAAATAATTATGAACTATGGAGGTGTGTATCAGTCATTTTATTAATCCAGAAATACCCAATTTGCTCACTTTAATAATATATATAGGTTTCATATAGGTTGCTGGTGTTAGCCTGTTCACAGACCCTCCATTTTCTCCTCAAAGTCCGTCGAGCGCAGGTGATAAAATATAAACCGCAGGGGATTTATTGACCATCAGTGCAAGGGCGCCGATGTTTTCGAAAAGAACGAAAAGAAAAATAAAACAACGTCTGTGTACAGGCTAGCTGGTTTTGAACCACATGGCTAGCAGATGGTTTCAATTCGTGTTGATGTTCAGTCCCGAACAGTAAACTCACCGTTTCCTTTGTTTTCGAGGTTTTTCCAAGTGGCTTCGTAGACAGTAAAAATACTACAAGGCTCTCAATAACTGACAAAAACACGAAGGCAAATGACACCATTAGGTACCAGTCCATTGCTTTGGCATAACTAACCGGTGGCAAGGACACGTTTACAGCTCCACACAGGAACATTATTGTTAATACTGTGGTGACACCTATTGTTAAACGACCCCCGGGGTCATCAGGGACAAGCCAGAACACGATCCAGCTTAAGAGAACAATCAAGATATCAGGAACATAGACTTGGAGCAGATAAAATCCAAGGCGACGTTGGAAGGAGAACGTCACTATTATTGTGGTGTAGTTGACTGAAGACAGAACAAAATCAAACAAATAAACAAACATAATTAAAGCAACAAAAACAACCAATCAACCAAAAAATATGGCGTCAATGCTAAAAGTCCATGTAATGTTCTTGTAAATGCCTGAATTTCAGACCAACTAGCTACTTGAAGCTATCTTTTTCTATTGATTGGTCTGTAAAATGCTTGTTGTCAAAGTGACGGTTGAATAAAGGTCACAACCGGCTTTCAAGCGACCACACGGAATCCATAGTACACTCTGCGACAAAAGCCTAGGAGCTCCGAACAAAATGTTTCCACTTGTTAGTGGTTTCTAGATCGAACTGAAATTTGGATGTGCTGGCTTTGAGGAAAACCTAAAATCTGGAAAACAATCTATTTTATTAGAGAGCCCCACGTAAGGATTTCCGGATTCCGGAATCTGGAAAATTTTCCTTTTGGAATCCGGAATCCTGGGCTTTGGAATCCGGAATCCCACTAACGATTAGAGTCCGGATTCAAAGTTCCACTGACAAAGACCTAGCTGGAATATCCGGAATCCACAGCGTGGAATCAAGAATCCAAGACTGTCTTGGATTCTCTTACATAGGGCGAAAGGCAAAAACACACTCACACAACTTTTGCATGGCGTCACATCTGAAATACAAACCTTGTGATGATTGCTAATTTCCCATATTCGACTGGAAATTCGATTTTTTTAAATTTCTTATTCTGAAGTTGTTTCTATTCCACTGCTTGACGTGATGGCAAATGGTACAGTGGCTGCAACAGCCTTTTGTTGTGATATTTATGATAGAAATCCTCTGACGAACTCTTTGTGAGCTCTCCTAAGGACTTATGACGTCTTCAAATGGCCACCATCATTAATTGTGTAGACAATTACAAATAATACGGCAATAGATTAGTCAAACACTTGTTGTGATTAATCGTTTTTATGTCTTAATGGACGAAAAAAGTGAATGGCATTTAAAAATCCCCTGGGTCAACTTTTAATCTGACCGCCCGGGGGCGGGGGGGGGGGACTCCCCATACCGTCCACATACCGTCTGAGAAGCTTTCCAATTCAGAGGAAAATTTTCCGCCCAGGAATGCGTACTGAGCCATGTCATCATGACTGACTTGAAGATCTTGGTCTGACCATTTTAAGATGACGGCACTGTCGTCGTAAGTATCTGCACATTTAAGAGAAGTGTGGTTGTAACTTTTGCAAGGCGATGTTTAATTTATTCCCCGAGAGCTCATTTCCCTTTAAAGGATGTCTTAACCGGACACTTTTGGACCACATTTAGACAGTGGTAACAAAGGTCTTTTAGTTAACTGAAAATGGATCGTCCAATTGTTATATAATGTCCTGGTCGAAAATATAACTTGTTAGGTAGGAATGGTAGAAGAGTGGAATGAGTAACGTTGTTTAGTTAAGGGCAAATACTTACAACTCCCAAACTTAAGATAACATGACTGACGGTCATGAGGAAAGCTGTGTAAATCCATAAAACAAGACGCCGTAAATGTAATCCTGAAAGTCAGAAAAAGAAAACGTTTGCAGTGCATCTGCGAACATGACTCTTTACTTTTCCGGTTATAACAGGCGTTTAATAGCAAATTTAGCAAGTATGCACACAATAAAAGGGCTTAATAAAGGGGTGCTTTTGCAAATCCCCAACTCGACAGTAAAAAGGGGGCGGGGTGGGGGGGGGGGGTTATTCAGTTATTGTAAGAGAGACCTTTCGCGTGGGGCCATGCTATGCTGACGAGTCCTAATGAGGACGGAACAGCTGGCCATATGGCTGCCACTCCCCAGGTGATATGGCTGCGCGCATGCTTAAGGTGCTGGCCAAACCGTGGAGATGATAGTGTGTGCTTAACTGTTGAATCTGGTGTGATTATAGACTACGGTGCACCTACCCTCGGCTGTAGACGAGTTCTCCTTCAGGACTAAGTGATATCTTACTGTGCGTCTCAGAGTTTGGTAACATTAAATTTGTTAACCTTGCATTGTAGCAATAGGCATCAGGTGTCCATACATTTCTGATGTCCGCCGCTTTGAAGTTGACAGTACGATTTATTTTTCCTGCCAAACGTTTATCGTACCAGGTCTGCTTGAAATAAGAATACACCTTGAATTCCTAATGAGAAAAAAGAAACTTATGTGTTATTTTTATCAATAGATAGCATTAAATTTAACTAATCAATAAATCAACAATATTAAATTAAGTTTCATTAATATTTAACAATTATTGAATGCAGCCTAGCCTAGAACACCTAGGCAGTTTTCATCGAGGAAAAGTGGTCCCTGTAATGCCTGCTTAACAGATGTAAACGACACTCTTACCATGCTAGCCTCTTCTATATTTCCAAAAGATTCCACGTGCAGATCAACAAAAACTTCTACTGGCGATCCTAAATATAATATGAAATGATACTAAGATTCAAGCTCATGATGGTTTCGTTCGTTTGTTTGTTTTCGTTGGTTTTGCTGTAATTAATGCAATGATAAAGACAATAATGATGTCATTGACTCGAAATTGACCATGACAATGATGTTGACGACGACGACGATGATGATGATGATGATGATGATGATGATGATGATGATGATGATGATCTGAGTAAGAAACTAAATATAAGAAATCACTCACAGACTCACAAAAGAAAAAATTACCTTATTCGATTACAAGAGTTGAATGTTCTGTTGTAAGACGTGTTTTAAGTTTGAATCTAAGGCGGCCTGTCGCATTAATAGCTGTCTAAACGGATAAACTGTGGCGAAGAACATGGTTCGTTAAAGAGGATTTCGTTATAAAAAGTTTGAATTCAACATTGAAGAAAAAGAAATTCTACCCTTAGGGCCTGTTTACATGAAGGTGTTCGTGGGACTCCAGGTAGGTGAGGTTACCTGCCTGTCCATATAATCTCTCATTATAGTTTGATCACGTCTACATGATACGTGGGGTGACCCGCCTTAAGTAACCTATCTGGGGTCTCCCTCTTCCACGTAAACAGGCCTTTTATTGTCAAAAGTAACCAGGTGTGTCAAACGTCACTACACTTGTCTCGTCAGGGCCACTTACCTTCATAATAACCGGGTCTCAGTGTTGAATCATAGTCAGGGCCCACTATGTTCTTCAGAAGTGAGGTGCCACTGTTGACTGAAATGAAGCTTGAAAAAGGTTGGGAAAGAAAAATATAAGAAAAAAATTAGGGTTTTAAAGTTGTTTTTGGCGCTTGTGTCTCTTGAAAGCAACTGTTATCCATTTCGTGGCCACTACGAAAAATATCAGTGTCATTAGTGGTCACTTGAGACTTTTTGCCCATCTCCTTGATGATACCCCGAAAAAAGGCCAAAAAAGGGCGGGATACAGATAGCCACATTCCAAGCGCATGACTGGACTTTGGCAGATACATGTCAGTCTGTCGAATTATTTTTCACAACTATTACGATACTTCAGTGACACTTTATGTCTTAGTGTATCAATGCTTAGAAAAAGCGACCAAACAGACTTCAAAACGGAAGGGGGAGGGGAGGAGTTATGTGATATTGCATTCAAGTATTAGTTGACTTCATAAACCCCAAAGCAACCATGGACAATAGCGCCATCAAAGGCCTTTATAGTTCTTTGACCGATGAGTGGCGCACTGATAACTTCCTATTTCTTCATAACACGCACAAAATATGCGCGGTATCACACTTAACATAATTTGATGTGTTATATAAAGCAATGGTAAGTAGCTGCCTTCAGGTTTTAATTTGTAGCCACTGGTACTCACCAAACAACAGGAAAAATCTGTAATGCGTAGATGTGCTTAGTGAGAAAAACCATAGTGCCTCTGAGCAAAGAAAGAATGACAAATAATATTTCATAGTAATGCTATGAAATATTCAACCATAATAAACATTCATCATGTAACTTATGCTAGAGCAGGTTGCTTGCCAGTGCGTAGTTTTGCGCCGATTTGGTAATGGTAGTGCCAGAGTGCGGACTGGTAAGAGCGTATTCGCCTTACTTCAATCTCTCATGGAATCCCAGGGTTCACACCAATTCAAATTCTGTCCTGTCAAATATTCGATTTGCTTCTCGGTATTCTTGACCTCATCTCTACGAACACGTTCGTAATTATCCTAAACGTTTGCTTACTTTCAGATATGATTAATTTCTTTTAATTTTTTTTTTCGGGCCCACTAGCCTCTTTCCTTTATTAAATTTGCAAAAGTAAATCAGCCCAGTTTCTTTTCGGCTCTTTTTTTAAGTGGGGAATTTTAAACAATTATTGGATGAAGTTTTTGTGATATCCGGAATAATCGTGGTCGAGGTAAGTGTTACCAGCCGAGCTGAAGGCCGAGATTGATAACGTTTACAATTAGCTGTAGGCTCTTAGCCAATGAGAGGACAGATAATATGCACAATGTATTTAATAACCTCCACAAAAGTGTGTCTATTATTAATGTTGGCATAATTTTTTTTTATTATTATTTACTTTGTTTGCTTTGATGCATTTTGACTTTGGATATTGACGTCCTTTGCCCATGAAGATAGAAAAATCAATCAATCATTCAAAATATAGATAAACAAGAAACCCACGACTGACCGTGAAAGTTATCTTTATCGCCTCAATGTAACCTCACCTTTTAATCGTCTGTATATGGGAACGTTCAGTCATGGGAGCTCCGTCTTACTCAAATTATTTGTCTACACTTTTGTCCCAAATGTTGTCCCTATTCTGTTTGGAAATTATAAAGCATTTGGTCCTCCAACCAGTAGGTATAACCTAAAGAATTCTTTGTTATCGTTCCCCTGCAGTTTCCCTTCGGCTTAGCTTCTTTCTGATTATGTTTGTCGGGAATTTGTGACTTAATTATCCGTAGATCTTCTGAATTTCTTCTTACGGCTGAATTACAAAAAGTATGATCTCCATTTCAGAAATTGTGAGTTTTTTTGAAACAGTGAGGCTTCGTGGAGTCGATAAATACATACCCTAACCCAATTTGTTGCTGGTGATGAAGTAATATCTAAAATATTTTTATCGTATTGTACTGCAGTAGACTAAAGAACAGCGTGCGCTCTGACCAATGTTTTGCCTGCAAGAATTTGTTCTTTTTGTTCTTTTTGAATTTTGTTCTTTCGGATGACGGTTTTTATTTTTTTACCGTTATCATTATTTGCCAAGAAGGAGAAAAGAAAATTAACTAATGGGTGTAGCTAGTCACTGAAATAACTTCACTGAAAATATGGTGTTTTATTTAAAGCCACTGCAGACGACAATCTGACATTGCACGTTGTGTCCGGTTGTGCAAGTTTTGGGATGAATGAAACACTAAAGAAACCTGTCTTGATTTATGAGCTGTATTTGCGAGAAAATTATTGTCAAAAAGTTTAGTTCAAGATAGGGTATAAATAGTCTATAAATAGAAGCTGAGAGAACGGTGTCCTCAAAAGCTCTGCTTAAATCACCTCCCCTCGGCATTGGACTGATTGACAGGTATCAGTCAAAAAAGGGTCGAGAATACGAGTGTTCATTCGAATACTAACCTACGGTTTTATTTCGTGTTAGAGGTTTTTTTTCCTATTTCGAAGACGAATAATCCGACGAAATGTGAACAAACAACAGCCATTTTGAATTACAATTGGCTCCCCCGGGGTAACCTAAATTTTACATACATTTTATTGATCTTTTTTTTTTTTTTTACAAATTTTGCGCAATTTTGGACTTATCAAAACTCAAACCCTGAACTAAATTGTTCATCGACCTTATAATGACACTATCTAACACTGTTTAGTTCAGCAAATATCTCCATAGACACTTTATGAGGGAAAAATTTTAACCTTAAACTAATATCATGGCAGGTCATATTAACATAGTTTGTCTAAGGATTGATCCGATTTGTAAAACACTGTGCAGTGTACATTACTGTAGCGGTCAGACTTTTAAAAATTCCACTGGTTTATGATTAGACAAAGTTACAACAGAGCCTTTCAAGTAGGAGGACGGTTCGAAGATACTCTTCTCGTTAAGCCTTGGCCATGACTATATAGGGTCGTATATTTATCTTCAAACAGCAAAGAGACGAAGGAAATAAATTTTTAATCATAAACAAATTTAAAACTACTTTCAAAGTCGTTTTGCAAACTCACCTTGACTGAAATAGCCGTATGGGTGCTCGCTACTTTACTGAAGGCTTCAAAAGGTTGAATATATATCATATATGATTTTGAATCAGTTTTGGATAAAAGAAAAATGGCGATCCACTTTCTTGCTTTCGGCTGACCTCAAGCTTTTTTGCTTAAGGGTGATATTAAATTATGAATCTTTTCCCTCTTTTGCAAAATGCTAATACAAGAAGTTGTTTACTTGGCTTTAGTTCACAGCAGAAGGTGATAACGTAATGTAATTAATAAAAGTCTAGCAGTTGAAAATGAATTGATATCCAGCTGTCGTTTTCTAAAGTGCCTCTCTGTCGCCTGTAATCCGTTGTGTGGCAATTTTCTATCATTTTACGCCCCGCGTCGTTAAATCAACAATGGTTTTGCCACACTCATTACTGTTCGACAAGTGTAATTTCAATAACAATAAAAGGTATACCTTGACATTCGAGGTTTACGATGACCTTGCAGCTATGTCGCCCAGTGCAGTTTCTCTCTAAATCATTAAGCTCATTTGTCAATAGTGACAGATGGTGATGATTATGAGAAGAAGAGGAAGAAGAAGAAGAAGAAGAAGAAGAAGATGATGATGATGATGATGATGATGATGCTGTTACTACTACTACTCCCACTACCACTACCACTACTACTACTACTACTACCACTACCACTACCACTACCACTACCACTACCACTACCACTACCACTACCACTACCACTACGTCTACCACTGCCACTACCACTACCACTACTACTACTACTAATTTTTTAACTTGAAAAAAAAAAAAAAGGAGAACAATGAAACAGTCACAGATTCGCCCATGCAATAATAAGACATTATTTCTTAATTCTTCGTTGCTTTTATTTATTTATTTTTCTTATTAATTTGAGCTTTTTACTAAGACATCTGCTCGTAGCACTTTGTCTTCAGTTGGAGAAAACTAAAGTAGTTTAATAGGAAATTATATTTTTAACATTACGGCGGATAGACGCTTAAGGCACCTCCCTGCGCATAAACCCGTAAAGCAAAGTGCTACAAAAGGCAAAGGTTTGGTTTATGAGTTGATAAGGTAGATTGGCCACCGTATGAGCTGCTTACGGTGGCCAATTCTACCTTATCTGCAGTGTTCTTCATAAGATAAAATCTTAGTGCTGCACTCCTCCACCTACGCAACATACTACTTTCAAGTTGCCCAAAGCCTCTGTTTCAAAGCGAGCCTAAGTGAGAAGACATTGATTTTAAATTGATTTTTTTCTTTCTCATGCAGATAAAACTCACTTTTACAAGGAAGGTTTTGCTCTTAGCCTTGTTATGAAAGAGAGAGCTTTTGGACCTCGGGAATGGCCAACTCCATAATATCTGTTTCCTAGAAATCAAACCCCTTCATTTATTTGTTACAAAAGGCGACTCGCAGCGAAACTACACACTCCCATAGCACAGCTTTTTCATTCCTCAACAGCAACAATAAGGATTGTATTTCTTGCTTTTCAACTAGTTGTATCACCGAATAATTAGTTTTGTTAAAATAAGGTTTAGGCGAAGTACGAAAGCAGCTGAAGCATAGATAGAAAGGAAACAATACTATGTCATGGTGCAGACAATCAAAGGGCTGCATTCACAAAGTCAACCTAAGTAAAAATGTTTCGATGCTTATCTTCTTGATTACAACGCGCCAAGATTAGAGGTGTAAACCAAGTTTCAATTTCCCACGGCACGACTATACATTTCCTTTTGGAAACGGCTAACTGCCCTTTTTTTATTTTAATTTGACGCTAATAATATGTCCAGTAAAAAATATTGAAGCATATAAAGATAAATGGAAACAAAAATCTCGATGCTTTATCGATTGCGTTTGCGATCTTTTGCATTTTATGAAATGTGCTTGTGTCGTCCTGGTATCCATCTTCCACTACGGCCTTGTCGGCTTTAGAAGCACCATTCACCATCTCAAGCTCGTTGCCAGGTTCCTGATTCATGCCCTCGTTTCCAGATTTTTTACCTCTGAAGCTAACAAGTGACGTTAGAGACGAAAAGACTTTTTCCGAGAGGGGGGCGCCATTTTCCTGAAAAATAGATACATAAGTAAATAGTACGTAATTATCATCCCCCTGCCTTGTGGGGCTTTTCAGGGATAATAAATTAAATAATAATATGATAATAATAATGAATTTAAATGACAAGTAACAAGGTTGAAAGAATCCTACCTGGTAGGAGGTGAGCCAAACGGGGCTATTTACTAGAGTGGCCGAGGATTTGAACTCGGGACTACGGAGAACAAATCCAGCCAGCGATCAGGGCCAGACTTGAACTTGGGGGACCTCCAAAGTACAAGTCCAGGGGCCCGTTTCTCGAAATTCCCGGTAACTTCTCGGGCCCGAAATCAAATGTTCAAATCGAAATATAAAGAAGAAGAGCGTGGGTCCTGGCTGGCAAACTACTCCATTTTGTTTCATTAACTGATAATTTTATCATGTTAGCTGCAGAACTATTGAAACTTCGATCTTTGATGTAAACGGCAACACCTTACCGGGCCCGTTATTTATCGGGACTTTCGAGAAACGGGCCCCAGCGCCCTAACCGCTTGGCCAAACTACCTCCAGAGAAAAAAAAACAAAAAACAAATACATACATAAAAAAGATAAAAATAAATAAGTAAGTTAATAAACAAAGGTTTGAACCCAGGGGTTTCATAAGAGGGTGGAATATGTTATCGTCGGCGTGAGTGCAGTCTTGAATAGTCAAGTCATCTTTCTGGCTAACATGAATCCATTTACCATGACTTTTATCGGCTTTTGTTTGTCTTGTTTGGCTTCAGCCACGAAGAGATACACTATCATGCATTCGATCAGCGAGAAAAACACAAAACTGAAGGAGACCAGTAGATACCAGTCCAGGGCTTTTGGGTAACTGACTTTGGGTAGGTTGCCATTAAGTGATCCAAGAAGGAACATGATTGTGAGTATGGTGGTGATTCCAAGAGCCATTCTGTTGCCAATATCGTCTTTTTCCATCCAAAAGACGATCCAACTTAGCATCACAACAAAAATATCTGGAAAGTAGACTTGAATGAGGAAGTAGCCGATGCGTCTTTCGAAGGAAAACGTGACTGTTATTGTCGAGTAGTTCCCTAAAAATTAAGTACAAGTTAAGTAAGTTTTGAGGATTTGCGAACCATTTTATTCATACATTGAACAAATAAATAACGACAAGTCCGTTCTAACGTGAGGGTTTGGTTTGAAACTGTCTGTTTTACCCATTTTGAATAACAGAAAAATCAATTTTGATAAGGTTATTGAAGTTTCTGATGTCGTGGCTGACAGTATAACTAAAGGCTCAATATTCGAAATGACCATTTTTTTTTTTGCGTTATTTGAAGCGGAGCTCCACGCGCGCGAGAGCGTAGCCCCATACCTAAGAAAATCTGGTAATCTACCCATCCGAGAAATTTTAGAAATCACGTGACCGTACGTCCGCCCACAAGTATGGCAAGCTAAATGCAACTCGAAGTTATTTTGGCGGGAAATCGCTTAGCCACCCGCTTCTTGTAAAGCAGAGACAACTTAAAAGTCAATAAAGACGAAAACGGAAAGCGGAAATTGTTTCTGTGTTACCTAAAGTTTTAAGCTTAGATTAATTGTCATGTCCACAAATTTAGAAAATAGAGAAAGAAAAGTAAAAAAGTAGGCGACAGGCCAGGGAAGCTCAACGAGAAAAACAGCGACAGACAACTGGAGCCAGAGATAAAAAACAAAGAATGTTATGCTCACCTACAGAAAAAACTTCTATTTTAGATGATAACTCGGAGCCCTTGAGCTGAAACTGAGATAGCTCTTTGTTTCCAAACTGAACCTCACCAGGAATCCATTCGTAAACGATATCGCTAGCTGTATACGAGTCTATATATATTTAAAAAAACACCATCATTGTTAGTTAAACAATGTTTGGATGAGGCGAGTATAAAACGTTAAAAAGTTTATAAGTAAACAGGAGGAACAGTTTGCGCTCTTATAGGTAGAGTCAAACCGCACTTCACGGACACGGAAACCTCCCATCGGACTGGTATGGAAGTTATGGGCTTCTGCATATGGACAGTGATGGCTGTTCCCAGGGATTTCTTTCACTGGTCTCGTTAGCAAAAGAAACCAAACTCTTAAGGAGAGAATAGCCAACACTTTTATCTCTTTTAACCATGCAATTAAATTAACTGGAGAGGATTTCGTAGAAAATCCCTTTAGACCAGGAATAGCAAAACATAGGATGACATTTTTAACATTAATCACGGTAAAAAAAAACAAACAAAAAAAAACTTACAGCTTCCAAACTTGAGGTGGCATTGCTGAGAATCATGTGGGAAGGTTCGGAGATCCATCACACAAGAAGCAAGTAAAGTTACCCTGAGGTTGAAAAAAACACATAAACAAATAAAAAACAACAACAGGCGACTACCTTGCTATCACATAATGCCATCAGGGAGCTTAAGCAACGACGTTTTTGAGCGACGTAGGTCAACCGGAAGTGGACTTTTTTGCAAACTTGGAAAAGGACTCACTTCCGGTTGATATGCATCACTTAACTTGTTGCCTTTCCAGTATCCTATATAAAGAAACATCGCCATGTAATGCCTTTATTAATATCAACTGCAATTCCTTACGTGCCCTATGGTTATTAATAGTGAGTTTACGCAACAGGACAGCAGAAACAAGAGGACGGCAAATCGTTTGTGTGTGACAAACGTGACAGGGCAATTAATTGTGTGTTTTGTCGTGATCTTCACTTAACATTAATGTTTTCTGGTCTTTTACAGAAAGATCTTTTTAAAGGAAGGTGATGTTTGGCGGAAAGTCTTTTCAAAGAAATTATTGCCACGCTTGTCACACAAGGATTGCCGTCTTCTTTCCTCTCCCGTCCTTTTGCGTAAGTTTACTAAAATTTCCTCCCCCTCCCCCAAAAAAACAAAAACAAAATCAATTTAAACATTTTTACGCAATTATCCTTCCCTTCAAACTGAACTGCTCAAAATAAAGGGTTTCAGGGTTAAACTGATTCGTACCCTCAGCTCGATGCTATGTTTTTCGCTGGGGGAAATCCTTACATAGAGGTTTACTTCTTCATTGGTTGTCATCATATTCGATTCACGTGAATTATAGCAATATTGATCTGGGGTCCAGATATTGTCGACACACAAACATGATAACATCGTTGCATTCCCCCCACTTTCTATATAGAAACATCGGGCCGTGTAATGCCTCAACCCTTTAAACCGTAAGATCAAAATTTGAATTCTCATTTGTTGCCCCTATTCATTTCCTACAGAAGTAGTGGGGAGAAGTTGATAAAATATTAAGCAAATTCATCTTGTTTGATCATTTCCGTAATTCTCATGACCACCCTGTTTTACAAAGCATTGATATTACAAGGAGAACTTTAACGCTGATCACTCTTTGGGCTCCACACCTTTTTGGCGCGCTTGCATTATTTCCCGCGCCCTGAAGTTCATCATTGTACTATTGTTCCTCCCTGGAAACGGGTCAACTGAACAGCTCAAAATAACTCCTCAGAGAAAAACTAATTCGTACCCTCTGCTCGATGTTATGTTTCCGTTGGGGGAAATCTGTACATTAACATTTACTTCTTCATTGGGTGTCATCATATTCGATTCACGTGCATTGTAGCAATATGGATCTGGGGTCCAGATATTGTCGACCTCTCCACCTCGTATGGTGAAAGTGTCGTTGACCCTTCCTGTCAGGCGAAGATCCTTCCATAACTGACGAAAATAGATATATGCCTTGAATTCCTGAAATTAAAACGAAAAGAAAGTAAATAACATGCAAAATTCTTAATTAATTAATGCGCGTCTAGTTACTTATCTATCTTTCCAGTGCCTTCATCTAGTGAGCACACACCAATCTTCATACCCGAAAAATTAGAATTTATACAGATCACTTCATTTTCCAGTTTCAGGCCTCGATTTGGTTCCTTTTATCATCTTCTCTAACTCGAGGAGCTCCCTTTTTTTCTTTTTTAACTTTCAGCAACCAACCGGAACACTTTTATTATCTCAGTTAATTAACAACTAATAAAATCTTAATTTAATCCGCATTTATCTCACCATATTGGCCTCTTCTATGTTTCCAAAGGATTCCACATAAATCGATGAACGAATCGTTACTGGCTTACCCCTTCCTTGAAAAAAAAAACAAACAAGGAAAGCCCTATTCAGGATTTAAAAAGTTTACTTGAAAAAACAATATGCATTTTTCTTTTTACAAGCTATTATTTTACAGACTATTTTTGCACATATTTACCGTGATTTGGCCTGATTGCTTTGTCGTAGTCCTTAAACAATTCCGTTATAACACCATCTTCACAAGATATTCTGTGAAAATAAATAAGAGGAAGAAGTTTTAAGATTTTCACCATCTATAATGTATGAAAAAATGGTTGAATACTTTGTGATTTGCGATTAAATAAATAAAAGCGGATACTTACAGTTTTGCTTGACTCAGCAAAAGCGCAGCGAAAAAACATGGTAGTTTTTTCATCTTGTATCTATACGTGAACACAAACCGTTAGTAACAATAAGAGTCAGAAAGAGTCATAACAATTTCAGTTTTCTCTGACAATTTGAACCCTATCTACCAAATATTTCCACTGGAATTCTCCTTGGAAAAAAACAAACGATTTTTACAAAAAATGATGAGCTCATTAACGCTTCTGCCACCGAGCAATCGTACAGTTTATGATTGATTCTATTTCCTTTGTTGTTGATGGCAAATAGCTAAAACTTGCACAAACTACTCAACTTCATCGGCGAAGTCTTCTATTGGTTACTATTTTTGGTAATGAGCAAAAGTGTAAACAGTGGCGTGAACAAAGATTTGCCTCGAGTAGGGATGCTTCACTGAGCTGCATAGTGCAAAAGATTCAGCATGAAGGGGAAGTCATAAAACTCCTAACTCTATAACGCGGGCTCTGTGACACAGTCTGTCCGTTCGGTGTCCTTGTTGAAGACGTTTAAATGTAGTACTTTTACTTAACATTAACAACAGTAAATATAAGAAGTCGTGCTGTGCGAACATAAAATAAGCCTTTTATAACAGCACTATTATTTTTAAGGCATATGGAAATTCGGCAGTGACCAAATGAATGCATTTTTAAGTGACATTTATTTATTGGCGACCATCAAAGTATTGTGAGTAATACTGAATGAGCAAAACGTGAAATGATTGATATCTTGCATATGAGTTTCAGTTCATCCTGAGGACACCAAGCAAATATTATTTATTTCCGGTGTATTAAGTCTAGTCTTTGCCTGTAAAAACAGGATGAAACATGACGTCATCATGTAGGAAGTGAGCAATTTTTGGATGGAACTTTATGTCTTTTCGACCAGATTGAGACGCCAAACATTTTAGATTCCTAATAAACCTAATACATTGAATTAAGTAATATATGAAACTTTCGGTGTCGAAATCTGATATAACGTTTTCAGTTTGAAGCGACTCAACCGCTCTTCCCGTCTGGTTCTGCTGGGAGTTTCGATTTTGAAACGAACTCGGAGCGGCTTTGTTTCAGGTGTGAATGTTCAAACAATCTCTGTGACGACCCTATTGCATTTTTTTTGCCCAAAACTGTATAAGTTCGGCATCTAAATCAACAGTCTAACTTTTTTTCAATTTGGACCTGTCGAACCACAGAAAATCGATTTTCATGTAGTATGCATGCATAATTGTCATGAGAAGTTCTGCGTTTGAAACAGGTCTTTTCCTTGTGTATGAAAGAACTAGAATAAACTTGAGAATTTGTGAATTGTTCGTTCTGCAATCAAGGCTTAACAATGGTGGAAGCTTTGTGGGAAAAAAAGTCACTCAGCTCATTTTCTTAGGTATAAGCGGCGCAAAGTTTCCAATATGAAGCTTGACGAAAGGCTGGACGAAAATAAATGCTACACTCACCGCAAACTTTCACGAAGAAAATGGAAACCTTTCAATGTGCTGTGATATGAGTATAATAATTTCCACCCGTGTATCAGTCTAATTGAATTTTTATGCTAATATGAAAATATTTTAAGCAGGCGATTGTGATCAAAAACAATAACGCTTAGGAACCTTATCATTTGTGTATAATAGTTAGAACGTCCAAATTGAATACGAATTTTCCCAGCAGTCAATACCTAATCCCGTCGAGAATAACTCAACAGCTGAGAAGACGTCCTAATGAGTATTAAATAGAAATAAACACCTATAGGAACAAGCAATCAGTTGGGAATTTATCAAAAAGTCTTACTGATCTGATCACGAGCCCTAGCTGAGTGAACAAGGTGGGCCCAGGTTGCATTCACAGCTCAGCGAAAACGCGATTTGAAGCTTACTAGCGTACTTCGTGTAAACATTTTGAAAAACTGTTTAGGGATTCGCAAATTTGAGCAAACAAGAACACAAATTCACGATAAAGCTGCTCATGGTGGCAATCAAATAAAATTTATGTAAGCCTCCAAGGTACTTTGTACGTTATTAAAGTGAATGCACGTTCACAGCGTGTTTCCACTTAAAGCGAAATACAATATAGTATAATTTAAGTAAAGGCTAGCCATGCATCAAGCCTCATCGATAAAATTTCTTTTATTTCACGACAATTTGACGCATGCTTGGTCAAAAACAACGCTATTGGGCTAAATTTGCCAACTATGTCAAAACTTTAGAAAGCAAAGACTAATAGCAAAATAGCGCAACACACAAATTATGAACTCTCAAACCACGACAAAAAATGTCGAGCAAAAAGAAAAAATATATAGTGTGTCTGTAATGAGTTGCTTTTTAATAAAAAATAAATGTATGAACTTGATATATTCGAACTGCGTGAGAAAGAGCAAAGGGTGCCCGAATTGGCCAAAGTTTCGATTTAATTAGCAATCCTTATTTGGATCTTCAAGATTTCCCAAGGACACCATTCTCACATTGCCCATGATGGACATTGTTCGCCCCACAAAATTTTGCAGCCAAAACATTGTCTTTATTTCCTTTTCGGACCACGGCCATACCCAGAAGAAAAGAAACAATAGTTATACAGAATTTGGGGGGGGGGGGGGGGTAAAAAAAAGAGGGGGGGGGGGGGGGGGGGGGTTAAACAAAGTGTATTATAGGCAACGTGAAAATGGTTAATTGAAGGAACAAAGCTCTCAGTACTCGCCATCTTAAGCAACGGTAAAAAGTGCAGTAAAAAAGTGCAACTTGTTTCGAAACATTGTAACAAAATGAGTTGAATCGTGATGTGGCACGTTTTACCACCACGTTTAAACAGCATCTTGCAACAAATCAGGTTGTGGCAGGTTGCGTGAATACTGACTGCTGATTGGATAAGATTACGCGGAAGTCATTTTGCAAAGATCTTGGCCACGTGAGTGTGAAGACGCGTGTTATCCTTGGGAGTACACTAGTATTTATTCCAGTAGGTCTACATATCATTTGACAATTTTAGATTCGAGGGCAGGGACCAACTACAAGGACGATATTTTACTGTAAGTTTGATGCTGGCCTCTGATTGGGCACAGAAATATTTTTTCTGCCCAATCACAGACAAGCATTCGAATAAGTCGTGGAACTGGTTCGTTAAGAGTAGGATCCTCGGGGCTCTCCTGCCAGTTTTTGAAAACTTTCGCCGCAGTTTTTTTTGACCCAACTGACCGCCCCTGGGTCTCCGAGGATGTTTGAAAATGGTGAATTGACCCTGTTCTCCTAGTTGTCCTCGTCATAGACTCTAAAGGTCTCTATTAACGACTTGGAAGCAGAATTAAAGGAGCCGTGTACAACAATTTTCTCGTAATTGTTCCTAATTATAACAGCCTTTATACTACTACAGGAGAAATTTCTGCAATTTGATTGGCCTAGAGCAGTGGTATTTCAGCATAAATTTGAAACACCTACATGTGAAAATTACAAACCTTTTGCGGGTAGTAGTATATTAAACAAATAATAGTATGATTTGTACGTGATATTTGGCATATATAAATACCACTAGTGATATTTCGAAATTGTCTCAAATTTCACTGGCCTAACGGCTCGTGAAATTACGCATAACAATTTTGAAATATCACTCGTGGAATTTAGGCCAAATATCCCTACAAGTCATGCTATTAGATATAATAGTTGACATACTCTACAAATCTACATACACCTGCATTTCTTCGGAGTTTGATAATAGGGATGGCTGAATACAGTGTACATTTTTAAAAACACGACAACAACAATAACAGCAACCAAACAGATATAATTTAGAAGGTGAACGCTTCTATTCCCATTAAAAGCATTGCTTGATGTGTATCTCCCTTTGAGAGCTCTATGTTTTAACTTAAAAAAACGCTGATGATACTAAGTTTTAGTGCTAGCTCAGTTTGCTCCCAATACTATTGCCTCTTAAGTTCGTTTCCACGATACTATAGACGATAGTTTATTTGAATGCTAATAATAGGTCCAATAAAAAATGTTGTAGCCAATGAATGCCAATGGAAACAAAATGCGAGCAATGTTTTCAATTGCAGTAGCAACTGTTGCCTTGGTTTTGGTTTGTTCACTGTCTGCATCTCGAGAACCATCCTCCAACACCGTGTTGTTGGCTTTGGTAGCATTTTGAACCATTTCAAGGTCGTCTTGGCTTTGTAGATTCGCATTTCCGTTCCCCTCGTGTTTAGAATCGGTCCAGCTTTTGGCACTCTTTGAGGCAATGGCTAATTTGAGCCACGAGTGAACTCTTTCCCACCGGGAGTTCTGTAATAGAAGGACAAGATGGGTTAGGTTTGTGAAACAGAAGAGTGCTATATGTTGTCATTGATGTATTAATGTTGTTGTTGTTGTTGTTTGTACTATACTGGAGACAAAAATTAGTAGGCTAATATCATAGGTGACGAATTACTCCTTAATTTTGGCGCGAAATTTCAGCGCTAATTTGTAATTTCACATGTGAAATTACTAAATTGCCATGGCAACCTGCCGTACGTCTCCTTTTCAAGATGGCGACGAAGTTTTATAATGTCATGAATGAAGATGTCAGGGCATAAAAATACGCTTTAGAAAACCTGAACACACTAAAGAGCACATCAAGAAGAATTCTTAGATGTATGTTGACGAAAAATTCTGAAAACTTAACCCAAATTTTAGCTCTAAACGTTTGAGAGTGGAGTTCGCGATCGATCGATACGATCCAGGATAAACAAGTCAAAAATCCTCGATTGGTAACGTAATTCGTCACCGATGATATTAATAGGTAATCAAATGGTATATTCGTGAAATTAGGGAATAATTTCACTCGTCACCATTTGATTACACATACTAAGTTCACACTATACTGGATAGTTATGGCGCCAAAACTGTTTTTTTGCCAATTCCTTTTAAGTCACCGATTGCAATATCTTGCATCTCGTTTCAAGTAATTTTTTTTCCGTTCCTACTCTTAAAGTATAACATGAAAGACCCATTAACCCTATATGGAAGGATAATGTGTCCTCTTGAATATAAAAACGGAAAGTGGGAATCACTGTAAAAAGGAAAAGGAACCCATCAATAATAAACATTTGGAAATTAAAAAAATGCATTTAATCTGAGACACGTAGAAACAAAATCATTCAGGGCCAGGTTGTTCCAAGTCGGGTTAAGATAACCTACAGGGATAATGCGAGATTTTGATTCAGACATGAAAGCTTAAAAAGCTAATACAGTTTTTTCTTTTTGTCTACCACTTATAAATAAATAAGATAAATAATGATTTGGAGGTAGCACATCCACAAAGTGGTTCTTCGTCTACCTGACTCCTGCATGGTGGGATTGGAATATGGAAATGTTGGTTTTTGAGGAGAGGGAAAAACTGGAGTACCTTGAGAAAAACCTCTCGGAGCAAAGGAGAGAACTAACAACAAACTCGACCCTTAACTCTCACTATTGCGCCATCCCCAGGAGCAATGATGATTAGATGCTCTAAAGAGAATCGAGAAAATTATCCAGGAAAATGCTTTTGAACAAGAGAAAAAGAAACCTGGGTTAAAATTTAATCCCGGGTTAGAGCTAATCGGCCTCCGAACAAACAAAGACCATTGCATGGTCCTTCGAGCCGGATCTTTTCTTTAGAACTTTGTTTGGACGGGAATATTCCGAAATATTCAAAATAGCATTTACCTCAAATTTGACATTGCTCCCTTTTTCAGTAGCTTTGACCGTAAGAACGTACACAATCATGCATTCAATCAAAGAAAGGAACACAAAGCTGAATCCAACCAGTAGATACCAATCCAGGGCCTTTGGGTAGCTGACCTTGGGCAAATTTCCGTTAAGAGATCCAAGAAGGAACATAATGGTTAGAATTGTGGTGATTCCTAAAGCCATTCTGTTTCCAACGTCATCTTTTTCCATGAAGAATAAAATCCAGCTTAACATCACCACAAAAATTGTTGGAAAGTAAATTTGGATGAGATAGTATCCGATTCGCCGTTGAAAAGAAAATGTTACCGTTATAGTTGAGAAATTTCCTACGAAAAGAAGAGTGAGTTAATCCAATTAATGTTAAAGACGTATTTAGTAGTAGAGAGCTTAGTAGAGGAATTTTATATAATTTACTCAATCATTCATTATTCATTAATCATAAGACAGGGACCATATTAACATCAGCCAGCAATAAAGAAACTTGGCACACACTGTATATATACGTATTCAATTGCGTGTTTCTAGATTTTCAAAAACTTTATATTCCTGTGGAATTTGGGTTATATAAAAGAGGTGGTAAAAGACCAAGATAAAAACCTCGTTGTAAACAAATTCAGTGTCAAGGCCACCCAAGAAAATGGACTTCAGCAATAATAACAACAAAGACACTGAACAAAACTTAGCCGAACTTACCTGTACTGTAAACATCTATGTACGATGACAATTTTGAGCCCTCGTAATAAAACTGAGCCATTTCTTTGTTTCCAATGAGCACTTCTCCTGGGATCCACTCGTAGACAATGTCCCTTGTAGAGTATGCGTCTGCGCATCAAGCAAGAGATATCGTAAGCAATGATGATTCACCAAAATTTCCGCTTCTGAATTAATCTTCTGAATGGACTAAATATTATATCGACATGTTTAAAAAAAGTTTTGAAGTCCTTACTTTCCTTTAAGTTACACAAAATACTGCATTTTTTCTACAAAAAGATACCACAGATAAATATTATTTGGAGGCAGTTTTTACAAAACATAGCCAAGGTTACTCACAGCTTCCAATCTTTAGATTACATGTCTGGGAGTCTAGTGGAAAATCCTGAAGGTTCATATCGCAAGAGGCTAGCACAGTCATTCTGTTATGAACAAAATTCAACAATATCGATTAATAGTTCTTCAGCCGTTCCCAAAGCCCAGTCGTGGCGATGTCCTTCACTCGTTATTCCCCCATGGGAAAGCTGTTTACTTTATGAGGCAATTTAAATTGTTTCTGAAGCGTTAATTCATCTGTCAAAGGCTAAATGTTCTCATGTAATATTTTGTAACACAACAGCAAAAATTCGAAAGGTGACTAGGCTACTGCAGTGGTTAATCAAAATCACAGTACATGGTATATACCTACCCCTTGCTCATGAGGACATCTCCATTGGGTTGTATGTGAACAAGGCTATGTACTTCCTCGTTGGGCAGCATGAGGTTTGATTCACGTGCATTGTAGCAAAATGGATCTGGAACCCACATGTTGTCGATGTCACCTCCCGTTATTGTGAAAGTGCTGTTAAGTTTTCCAGCCAGGCGTGAGTCTCTCCATAGTTGACGGAAATACGAGTAAACTTTATATTCCTGGTTAAAAATATGGAAAGTATATCAAGACGTCATGAAAACATTCTATGAAACCAATTTACTAAGCTTTATGAGGCGAACTGGCGCTGGGTGGCAGCCATCTGGTCTGGTCCCAAAAGTGAAGAGCATCTGTTTTCTTATAGCAGTATCCATAAATATTTTTAAAAAAGTTATAAAATAAATATAATGATCACTTATTAAGGGATTGATTAAGGGATTGATTTTTATCAAATTCTCTCCTATTTTTTATGGGGAATATATCGTGAGAAGTCTGGAGAATTTGTATGTCGATATTGGGGCGTAAAGGGTCAAAACTCTGACTTTTTCTAGATTTACAAGTGAATCTCTAAAGGATATGCACATGTAGCACCAGCTCATTTTTCAATAACCAGTAATAGCCTGGAATGTGAAGAAGGTAAGCAAGCTTTTTTAGGATTTTTTTGAGGGACAAGCACTTTCAATTCCCTGAATATAAGAGTGGAGCGGAGGGGACTGCGGCCAATGTTTTTATGTGGTATTTCTATTCATGCATTTTAAAGAATTTTCAGTATAACAAAAAGTTTGTTATAGCTAGCAAGTGTCCCATCCACCCCTTTGTGAATTTTGTGAATCCGTCCCTGCTTACGTTTTTAAAAAATGACTATTATTCAACTTCTAACGTAAAACTTACCATATTGGCCTCTTCTATGTTTCCAAACGACTCAACGTAAATGCTCGATCGAATGGTAACAGGTGTCCCGTTTTCTAAGAAAATTAAAACGAAAAATTAATGGTGAGAGGCGAAGTGCTTGTGCACATTCCGTACCCTTGTTTTATTGATGTCGTTTTCTCTCCTTCAATGTCACTTCCTCTCGCTTTTGCCACATTTCAAAAGTTATTTTTCGGGTGCGCTATTCCATGGGCCATCTTTTATATTTTTCTCGTTACATTTTTATTTAATACTCGGCAGCCTAAATAAAAATTGCACATAAAAATTGCTATAACCTTCACATGAACTTTTAATGGATAATTTTTCTCAGTCTCAAACTGGTATTTCTTCTTTTTGGATAGGCTTACGGCCGAGCATCAAGTGACAAAGTTTATAGAAACTCTGTTGGTTTAGACGATAACTAAAGAATTAATAGGATGCGAAAAGACCATAACCACTCTTAAACCGAGACCTCTAACACCAAAAGACAAAGAGATGGAAAGGGTTTATTTCCCTGATGTGTCCAGTAGTTTTGCCTTGTTGGTAAGGCCTTTTTCAACTTATTGTACAGTTGTTGATAAATGTTCAACTTTAATTTTCTATCCCCCTCCCTTTTTTGTCCCTGTTTACTGTATCTTACCAAACCCCGGTCTTACGGCTTTGTCATAACCTTCAAAAAATGCTGTAATCACATCGTTGTTGCCTGATATCCTGTAGGAAGAGATGCGACAGATACGTAGTTTAATTGCATGCAGAACAGATACACATAAAACATACCTTTTGGGGAAAAATAAAGCAATAGTTTAAATTTCGAGTTTGAGGGCAAAGTTGCTAAATTAAAACTAATTGTGCAAAATTTAGGGGCTAGACAGGAGGAAGCAAGACTCAAAACACATGGAATATCCTCCATGACTGAAACTAATTTCTTTAAGGATGTTGAAATTATTACTGTGATTATGATTAGTACTGTTATCATCATCATTATCATTATAGCATCATGATCGTTAACGTTTTAGTCATCGTAATCGTTATCGTTACAATTTTCATCATTTAACAATGCACCAGGTTTGAATTCAATGCCAGTATAAGAACTATCTGTCTAGTGCTACAGAAGTCGACCGGGATCTCTGCCTACTGTTTTTAAGCACGTTAAATATTCAGACATTTAAT